GGATCGAACACCCGACCGCTAGCGAGCCAGCGTCTTACCCACTTAGTCACGTGATCCCCCTTGTTTATGAATGTTTTGTTGTATTCTTTAAAGCCAATCTTTACAAGAATATATTATGACCTTATTATGACATAAAACGAAAGAAAAATAACATTAATTGGGCGTACTGAGACTTTAAAATGCAAAGGGATATACAAATACTTGTGTTAAATATTACGGTGTACGAATCGACCCAACAAAATGTAAATATTTAAATAAAGATAAATACCCGATTATAAAATTAATTGGTCATAACTAAACAGTCAAAACAATAGCAATTAAATCTACTGACAATTCGAGCATATAAAAATACCACTTCAACTATGTAAACTATTCTCTCTGTAGGATGGAGATAAACCGGTTGTTGAGTCTCAGTAAACACCACGAAAAACTCGTTTCTACATCCCACCTAGATAATGAATCATAATGAATATAATTCAAACCTTACTATAAGATATATAAGCGTATTTCCATCCATCACATTATGTGTGTATCTGTCACAAATGATTATCATACTTCAAAAGACAAAATCCTTTATTGGCTTAAAGTTACAAACAAGTAACACGCTATGGAAATTTCTACTAAAGGCACTTGAGAACTATCATCCAGTAACATTAATAATATAATGTAAATCTCCTGGACGAGAGAGAGAGAGAAAATGGGTTTAACGTCCACTCGACACAAACCAGGTCATTTTGGGACTAACATATGGTTTAATTTTTTTTCCATAATTCGCTTGCGCGTGGGGGTCGTTAGCAGTGGGAGGAAACCGGAGGACCTGGAGAAAACCCACGAAGTTGGACAGGCGACCATACTCCTTGTCACGTACAACCGGGGATTCGAAACCACGCCAGTTGACTCAATGACAGACTTTATATTACAGCACGCACATGCTAACCATTCAGCCATCCAACCTCCCATCTGCTGGACGAACTCGATGATAATAAAATCCAACTGTGGAATTTGATTTTATCAAACAATAGTTCATCGGCTCAGAAGAAAAGCGTTCCGAATAGAGTAAGCATACCCTGGCTCGATCACGACACTGTAAGATCTCCCGGGCGAACTCGATCATATCAAATACTTTAGTTATAATCGAATTTTCGACAAAAGCCACCTGTTAAATTTGATTATTTCAAACAAAAAGTCACGGGCTCCGAAGAAAGGCGTTACGAATAGAGTAAGCATACCGAGGGTGGTCCACCTGTTTCTATGTTCGAACAAAAGACAGATTTTGGCTACTTTGGTCAACCTTTAACAAGTTTAAGCACTGCCCGTAATTAAAGAATATATTACTGACTACCAACTTAGTTTTATTTCCACGCTCTCCGATTGACAATATTGCTGGCCCTGATTCCACCAAACAATCTTTAATCTCAATTTTAAAAGCTGATTCTTATAGCTGTCACCGGTATATATCTAATATTAGGATAAAGAAATAGGTGGAACATCTCATTTGGGTTAGAAAAATAGTGTCATAATGATACAACAGAGTACACCAATAAGTTTTATTTTCGAATTAAGGGCATTGTTCTATCTTTGTTCTATGATTTCTAACTTGCATAACGTTACTTTGCCAGACAAACAATTAATTGGTGTCAGACACACGCTACACAGCCACGAATTTCAAATATACCAATAAAAACGAGGGTCTAAGGTACACACATACTTTCGTAAAGAAATCTTAATCCAACTATCGTTCCGGATGGTTATATGTGCTTACTCTTTTTACCAGTTTCCATTTGAGGAGTTCATATAGCTAACAAACATTATAATCTTTTTAGTAGCACATTGATATCATGACGACAGTTATACGAGAATTGTGAGTACGCGGTGAAATTTAAATTCAAGGATTCCAATATTTAAAATAATAGAGTATATCTTTAATGTAAAATTTAAAACTAAATGCCGTATCTCTTTAATGTAGAATTTAAAACTAAATATAGTATCTCTTTAATGTCTAAATTTATCTGTTCATTCAAAACTAATAATACTTAGTACATAAGTTTGACGGACAGGTAATTAATAAGTATTTATGACACGCTACTCTACACGACTTATACGTCAAACGGACAAGGAAAACGTTGGTAATTTAACTTTAAACGGATGATTGATGGGCAGATAATCAACTTTACATTAAAGATTTCTAATATATCACTGTTTTATTATACCTTCTTTTGTTGTGATATAATAATATAATAATATACATGTAATGTAGAGAGGCCGACAATTGATTTATCGTATAGAAGCGAATAACATTGAAACACTGACTGTAAATGTTGCTTTCTAGAGTACATCCTAATGTTTCTAGAGCTAATGCACAAATTCAGTGTGTGGCAAGCTTATCATTTAATCAAGACTAAAAAGCCCCTCCCCACCCCCCACCCCCCACCCCCCCGCCACCAACTTCGTGAGAACATTAACTTCTTTAGGGTTAGATATTTTTAATAGGGCCAACTTTGGTCAAAGATCACGAGATGTAAACAGGGCTAGCGTTAATCCCAACAATAGCCCTGGACCTAGCCCTAATCCTTATCCTAACCCTAACCCGAACCTACAATCTCGCCAACAATCACGTTCCCTAACCTTATTTACATCTCAGTGACCATGACACCTTCTTTAGGGTCCCTTGAGCCATACCATGAAGACGCCTTCCCAGTCCATACCTGATGACAATTCGCACTATCCTTGAAGGTTGTTTTTTATTTAAATTGTTTAACAACAATTGCTATCTGAAGAATGTCTGGACCGATATGAATCCGACACAGATATTAAAATGGTTAGGAACAAAAAATGAATCTGAAATTCCATTAACAAACAACCGTACACTATTTTATTGTTTAGAAACGGAATCCGTGGTGAGAATATAGCATACAACATTATACAAACCAAACCCAAATATTTTTAACGCAAATTTAGATAATGTTTTGTCTTTACTTCGATAATTTTTGAGATACCTAAACCTGAGAAGAGTATTTTGAGATTTTTTCCTCCCCTGTTGTTCAAACACGTTACATTCTCTGTCTTTTATCTGATTCCATTCATGTTTAATTATGCAATTTACGGCGGAGACATTATAAAGATGCATTTTTGAAAATTTCATTCAAATTCTTTTATTCTTGGCAAAGTTATGAGTGTTTGAAGTTTTTGCAAGATAATCTCGATTGTCAAGTACCATTGCCATGACAATAAACGAAGTCTCGATTGTCTGTTCTTTTGTTGAGTTGCGTTCATTTTATAGTTAACCGATAATATAGCGCGGATGCATTTTTAGTATGAGTCAATGTCACATTAATCACATTAAAGTATGTTTGCTGTTTACTACATCCTATTCAATGTGACAAATTGTAAATACTCATGTTCCCCTGGATAGAAAGCTGTTTAAACCATACAACTGTCTACTCTAGGTAATTTATCATAAAACATATTGATTGATCACAGTAACACAGCCATCTTAAATACATGTTATTAAGTAATATATAACTATAGATATAAATCTTTATACCAAGAAATATTAAGTAAAAATAATGGCCTGCTATGACCTTTATCGGGGTTAACACGCTTGGTTTAGGCGTACCTGTAGTATAAGAATTTCATATGAGACAAAAATTTAATTTGGTTCCTAAACAACAAGGTGAAACTCCACTGCCAGGACGAAAATCGAATTGGGGAAGTGTAACGGGATATAGAATTATATGTAGAAGATATATAGAACCGATATGAATTTAATAAGAAATGAAAATCAAAACGTGTCGAAAATACATTCAAATACGTTTATTAAAGAAAGAAATATGTGATTTATGTTTAAAAACACAAAAATTGTAATGGAACTGTAAATACTGACGTTGCCGTAACGAAAATCTAGGAATGGATGAATGAAAGGCCTTTGATATAACATGAATGAATATAGACACGTTAAAATATCCCAACATAACACGATATTTATCTCCTGATCCCGAAAAAAAATTCCCAAGGTTTAAAATAGATTTGAAATTGGCAGATGATATTGTCAACTAATTTTGTTAAATAATCCCCTCTTTAGGTTATTTGTCGCACCTACTGTTAAGTTCACCGATTAAATTGAACTTCCTGCCTCTATAATCACGATTATAGCGCATTTGGGAATTTAAAGTGTTGAGAGATATTGTCACCAAAAATACATAATGACTAGGCCTATTAGTAGGTTTTATAAAGAGTTAATATTTACATTTCGTAATAGCTTAATTGTCAATACCGTTACTGTAACTATATTATACAGCCGACAGTAAACAAACATAGTTTAGGTACCTGTGATAATATACAAATAAAGAGAAACTACGTAGAGTTAAAATCCATAAAAATTATTATTTATCACGTATAGTAGATTAAGGATTAGGACATCGAATACTACCTGTGTATACCAAACAAAAAAACTACCTATATGTAAAATATCTTTACTTCATTTTTTTGTATACATATACATTCGGTGATGTAATATTTGGTTTATAACTGACTATAATCTGTATTGTATTAACTGTACGTTGGTATGCCCCCTGACTCGGTCTTTTATTAATAAAAATACGAAAGTGCTACAAAAATATATTAGCTATAGAAACTCCTTAAATCAGAAATGGTATCAGGTGTTCTTGTCAGAATAAATGGTGAATTATATTTTCAGTAATATACTTTGCCAGAGTCTTCTCATTTTTATGAGTATGCCGAGGCCGATGACATGATGATACATCTGCCAAAGTAATTTGTATGGCGGTTTAAACTATAATAATCACAAACGATAAACGTTCGTACGTTTTGGATGTAACGTCAAAATTTCAAACTTGCTTACTATTCAAAAGCGACACACCCGTCCATTCACAAAAAAAAGTAAACGCCAACAGTGGGTCAATATAGTAAAGGTAAAAATACATAAACACACTATAGTATATTGATAACGGTTAACGATATACCGTGAACTTTCAACTCACCTGTAAGGAACCAAGCGGTGAAACCACAAATAAACTTGCCAATATAATCAATCCGTACATAAACACTCTTTGTAGCAAAAATTGCTTCACATATTCCAAAATTGCCTTCATTTTTGCTTGAATTTAGCAGCTTGGTTTGACAACAGTCAACCTACTTACTATGATGACAAACTTTTACCGTCTGCTAGCTAGTATGTCATTTAGGTTTGTGTGTCTGTCGTGTTAGCCGTATTCAACTCACACCTATTCACGACAGTGCGGCTCACGTCGTTTGAAGCGTTGTTTTGGGGTGCGTTCGATTGATACAGCACAGATCAGGTTGACATTTTACTTCATAACAGGATGGAAATTGAATAAGGCCTATATGAATTATATTTTCAATGCAGAACTACATACGGTTACACAAATTTATTTTTCTGTTCTTCGGGAAGACCAATTAAAAATTCTGCTTCTAATTTCTTCAAGAAAAATACTAATTTAGAAACAATAAGTACTTAGTAGCTCATCTCGATAGCTTTTAGTTCCAGATTCTAAATGTTTAATTTTTGAAATTTTAATTTAAATTTTTTTCACTTGATTCAAGTGGCTATTTACGTTTTAAAGACCTCGAAGAACAGAAAATTAAATTGATGCGGCCTAATCTGAATTTAAAGATTTAATTTCAGTTTTTTTTATCTCATTGCGGAAATGTATAGTGACTCATTCAAAAAAATTTACTAGCCACAATAATCATAATACTAAAATTGAAAAAGGTGAGTTATAAGAAACCGGACCCTCTTTCAGTCAGGTCAATATACAGTTCTGATCTGTTTGAAATATTTCGGTTAGTGATTGCACGAAATCCATACTAATATATTTTCGATTCGAAATATTACTAATTTTCATTTCCGTGTTGACTTGCTTAGGCTGTGGACTGTGGAACATTCATTTTAAATTTAGATACATCTATTCCACACGTCAAATCAACACGCTAAGTTCATTCAATACCCAAATCAAACAGAGGTCAAGAGATCTTACGTTACAATGTCCTACATACTGTTTACATTATAGTAAATAAATGGTCAATGTTTGTCCAGCTTTAAGCTAGATGTTGTTTTCGTTCCGTATTTATTCACCTTAGTTTAAATGCTCAATATTATCCATAGGCCTAATATTTGAAATTAAAAACACGAAATCGAATTCAATATTGGTCAATTTCAATCAATTTTGATGTTGTTAATTTGCCCTGAAAATATGAAATTGTAACTTTAAACCCAATATATATAAGACACAATGAACATTTTAAAATGAATAAACGTCATGTGTTCTACAGACATAATGGTTTCGAGCGATATTTGTAATGAACAAAGAAACACATATCCCAGAAGACAATGCGGAAGTAATTAAAAATGACTGACTCACAAACCAATAATCATAAAAAAAAAAACGTATAGAAAAGACTAAGCAGGCTCAAACAACTTCAGGTCAATTTGGACTGTTTGCGTATATCATCGAACATAATTGAATAGAAATTAAAATGTTTTGTTGGGTTTTTTTTAAATTAATTGAAATTCACGTGTTTTAAGCATATTTTCGTCTATTTTGAGGTTCCGTAGAATAGAGCAATATGCCCTTCTTGACCTGTGTAGCCCACATAATAATGCCTTTTGCACTACAAATTAGCTGTGACAAATGACTGATAAACATGACGGTCAATGTTAATGACCTTAAAAACTGTTTAAATATCAACAGGTTCCATAGGCATATACTGACCTGTCATGTCGGTCATTGTTTCCCAATCAGATGAAAATATATTTGATCAGAATGTGAATTGTGGACAAACAGGAAGCCGTGATGTTATCAAGACATTCCTTGCATTAAAATCGTGCCAAAATCCAGGTGTGGATGTGAACTGTCGACAAACAGGGGTTCGCGATGTTATCAAAATACATATTGTTTCATAATTGAATTTTACAGATCAATAAATATTAATGTTTATCAAAGATATATGTCAAAAGTGACGACACGCGCTCTTAATCTAATATGGGAAATCTGACTTGCAATGGCATCAAACTCCTATAAGACCCCAGCCCGCTTTCTCGTGAGGAATTGAAACGCTACTTGAGTCAATGACAGATCATTTTTCGAACCTTTATTTCGTTAAAGTCAAATAAAAAATGTTTTCAGTATCTTGGGTGGCTATCGTTATATGTAGAAATACAGAATCCCCAAATGAAACGAAATAAAAATTATTATGTAGCTTTATTTGTGTTTTGTTGTACAGCTTTTCAGAATCCGTAAACGAAACGAAATAAAACTTGTCACGTAGCTTTATTTGTGTTTTGTTGTACAGTTTTTCTGTATTGTCTAATATAAGATAGGTTTGGTGTAAAATATCGCCACCCTTTAAATATCTTTTTTGCGGAACAGAAAGCACTCTAAGGTATTTTACCCCAACCGCCAAATCGAGAGCTTCCTAATTTGTCGTCGGAAGAAATTACTTATACAGTTTCTTATTACTGTAAAGAGATTGAAACTGTTTGAGGGGAAACTCGAGTTGTAGAAACAGTAGAAAAATCAATGGTCTTATTTAGTTGCGTGAAGGTAACACTTAGAAAAAACTGATGACAACAAACATCAAACGAGTGCATGCTGAACATCAAATATTTTCTGAAGAGGTCTAATAAGTAGTTCAATGTCTCGTCATCACATATTTATGTTGACCACTACAACAATGACGTTTAATGAAATGAAATGGGGTTTAACATCCTACTTTTATACACCGACTACACCAATGAAGATGGGCATACGGTATGCAGTGTGTTATGAGGGAACTTTTCCCCGGACAGCCGCGCTATCCGAACGACACCACTGACAAAGGGTGGGGTTGGGACCACGCCGGAAAATCACGATGAACTTTCTGAGCCAACTTCGCGATCGAACAAGAGACCTCCAGGTTAGCTAACCATTAACGTTTCTAGAATAATAATAAACGAATCAGATTTCTAAAATTAAATTGACCATAGGGAGGATTGATGTAAATACTTATTATTAATCATAAGATAGACATTTTCCTCCGATTAGTCTTCGCCATATTTATCAAGAAATCTCTTTGTAAAAAATGTGGGAAACAAGTCCGTTAAGAGGCTATAAACCTTTAATGCCAGTAATTTCTGTCTAGTGACTTAGGTTTCTTCTTTCAATATTTGTTCGGCTATTTAAACCTGTTTTAGGAATCGATAGAATAGTTTAGTACAGTGTTAGTAAGTGGATTTAAAGAAGTAATCTCAACAATCCTTCAGTTAAGACTGAGACGTTTGGAACCCAGACTCTAAACCAGGACATTAGCCACAGTCCCTCTCTTGTTGTCCCCTGTGCTATTCATTAGTCTCTGTCTTATAATCTAAAACAGACAAGAAATGATATGAAATGAAATGGGGTTTAACGTCCTACTTTTCTGCCCCGACTGGGATAATGAAAACGGGCATACGCCATGCAGTGTGCTATGGGGGAAATGTTACCCGGACTGCGGCACTACGGCCTACTATTACAGCGAATTCCAACTGTTAAGAGATCTTTTACGTGCACACCAATGTGTACACGGGACAACGTTTTTTCGTGCCATCCGAACAACTATACGTTGTCCCTTGCCAGGCACTCCATCCTGCACCAATGACTAGGGGGAACCACGCCGGAAAACTACCAAGAAATTTTCTCTGCCAACACCAGGATCGAACAAAGGACCTCAAGGTTAGCGAGCCAACGTCTTACCCACTATGCCACGACAGCTCCCAAATCAGAAAAGATGACGCCATATGAAATCGTTAGAAAGTGATAGGAACATAGGATACGTAACTAACGTTCGAAAACTAAATGCTAGCTGCTGCAGGTAGGGTGGGTCTGTTGTTCAGATTTGTGATATAGGTGTCTATATCTGTCTATTTCCAAATTTTAGTTCATTTTTTCGAAGAGGTAACCTTTCTGTGTAAAATAAAACGGGGTTTAGCATCTCGTCAACATAATACTTCATCGAACTCCAACTGTCAGAGGTTCTTTTATGTGCACGCCAGTATGCACACGGTTTTCGTACCATCCGAACGACTTTGCACACATTCTTTTTTAGCAACTGACAAGTAGGAGCTGAGAAATTATTTAGTAAATTTTAGTCTGTCAGATAGGATGTAAGTAGGACCATAAATCCCTTTTCATTCAATGTATAGGATTTAAATATGATTACACAATTTCATAAATAAAGACTTTCTGACTGCACTTTTAGATTACTCGTCATGCTGAGTTTATAATTTATTAATAAATAGTAACAATAACACGAGAACCTGTAGATACATAAACATATATATCAGGTGGCCCAGAAAAACACGAGTACATCATTTAAAGTGGAACAATTCTATAAGAATTATATCTATATCATTCATTAACTTACTTCACACTCACGTCAATTTACATATTGCCCATATGCTTTTTTCACCCAGAAATCTTAGAAGCAGACAGACCCTGAACTTTCTCAAAGAGGCCACCTAAAAATAGATCAGTGGCTGCCGCCGTCTGGGATCTAGATCCGATGGATTACGCCATTTGGAAAAGTCTCTGGGGAAAGGTTTGTGAAAATCGCACGAAGCCATTTATGGAAAATGAACTGAAGGATACAATTCGAATAAAATGGGCAGACATAAGCTTAGAAGAAATAAGAAATTCGATAAGTGGGTGGAAAAGGAGCTTAATTTTTTAATTATTTCCACTTTAAATATAGCGTACTAGTTTTTATGTGCCACCCCATACAGAACTGTTTTAATTGCATAAGTTAAGTTGTAAAATGTGCAGTTTATCGATTATTGTGTTACTGCAAGTTTAACAATAAATTGTGTATAAAAGGACCACGCCTATGTAGCTTAAAGGTGGGTCTATTGTGAGCCTGAGGCACGATGACATAATGAGATAAATATGTATTTGAAAATAAACTCTAGTTTAAATCGACATTGCATATGGCGCTTATTTTGTGAACATACTTATAAGCTTTGCAGACTCGGAAAGTTTGTCAGATTAATTTCGATTTCATTTTCGGGCCAGTCGAATAAAAGGTGGAAAAAGTGTGTAAAATGTAGCTATTCAGCATCTTCATATTTTAAAATATTTCTTCGTAACTTTTATAAACTTGTAGCCATAATCCATAAGAACACAATCTATATAAAGTTAGTTTGCAACTTGAGCGGTTGGCGAGAAATAGGCAATTTTGCATGGATCACTTTCATGTTTCTTGATCGATTTAATGCATACGAAGATAATGTATGTGAAAATTGGTTTGTGATTATGAGCAGTTGTCGAGAATTAGGCAATTTCGCATGCTTCACTTTTCACGTTATTTTGCTCGTAAAAGAGTCAATTATTATTCGATTTTCATTTTCGTTTTATCATTTTATGCCTAATACCAATTTTAACTAGGTCAAACCAATTTGACATTTTCACTGTCACCGGAAATGACGTCAATTGGGCAAAAACTGTATTTTTAGCCTTCAAAACAGATATTTTATTCAAATGAGTCCTAATTGTTATGTGTTTAAACGTATGATATTTAAGTCCATTCAACAAATAGAATGAAACCATACGATCATGTTCCGTTGCGAAGAAATAGATGATTGTCTGCAAGACACTTTTAACGGTTTTTGGTCCATAAAAGTGTTAATTGTTATTTGATTTTCATAAAAGTTTCACCATTTGATGCCTAATGCCATTTTGTACTAGAAATCACAACATTTTGACAAAAACTGTATTTTAGTCTTCAAAACAGATATCCCTTCAAATGAGTGTTATTCAATATTCCTTTAAAATTATGATATTTAATCCCATCCAACATATAGAATGATTTAATTCTGAGAAATAACCAGTAAGGGTCACTTTTTAAGATTTTTTTCGCATTGTAATTTCCCATTAGCGGTAAGTTAGTAACAAATTTTGCCAGGATCACTTTTTTGACATGTAACACATGGTAACAAATGTATAAATGGAATTGATATTGCTGGATTTAAATGATTCTTCGTCCATTTTATAACACGTGTTCAATGCTTATGTGGAAATCTGTTTAACGGAAGTGGCTTAAGTTCAAGGGTAACGTGGCACCGGTGAAACCCGTCATTACTGCATAGCAGTTCTAGTATTAGATTGATTTTAGTGCTTAGCCAATCAAAATGGAAGTATCTACTAAAATTTGGATTTCATCTTAGTTAAAATTTCGAGAAACAAGGACCTGATGTCTAGTTTTGGGAGGGGATTGGGTGCGGGGGGTGGGGGTGGGGGCTTTGTGATTGGACAAGGGCTACAGAAGCATATTAACCGCTGCGTAAAGGCAAATGTATGGCAAGGTGTATTGATTTAAATTATTTGACCTAGTATCAGGAGAATATATGTGAATATTGTATCTAGATAGAATATTTACAATTCTAACGTACAGACAACGCCCTACAAATCAGTATTAATGACATTAGGAGGAAAAAATCGAAATTTTTAAGGCGTGTACCGTGATGAGATATTTCCATAAGGAAAGAGTGTATTGATATTAAACTGAAAATAATCGCATTGCCGGGCAAGATATTGCAATGTTAGGTATAATTGTTTACTATATGTTGTTTTGATAAAGCTTACAATCCAAATAGATGAAAGAAAAACAGTGGAATTAAACTTCTCAGCACAATACTGGTGTATTTTCAGACTAACATACTGTTGATTTTATCTATGCCACGTTATACACTGCTCGATTCCCAGTTTGTACGCAACAAGAAGTAGGGTCGCCTGTCAAACCTCGAGGGTTTTCTCTGAGTCGCGGGGGGTTGGATGACTGAATGGTTAGCCCGTGCGCGTTGTATCATACGTTCTGTCATTGAGTCAACTGGCGTGGTTTCGATTCCCCGGTTGTCGGAGTAGGGTCGCCTGTTCAACCTCGTGGGTTTTCTCCGGTTCCACTGCTAAAGACCCTTACGCCCAAGCGAATTATTGAAATAAAATTGAACCATATGTTAGTCCTGAAATGATCTAGTATGTGCACTGTTCGTACAGCTTGGGTTCGGCCTACTCTTCGTCGAAGTCAATTTCAAATGTTGACCTCGATTTTCCATCTCATCCAAACGACAAGTCAACACTTTAGTTGTCAGCCCCTCCACTAGGCAAGTGGGGGCGCGAGAAGAATGTAGCATTGTATCATGTGTGGACAGTACACAGTACAAGTTACAAGGATTAAATAGTGAAGTGGCTAGGGAATAGATTCGTCCTTTTTCCCATCATAATGCCTCGCTCGCCTTGACAATCTTCGAGTCGCATGTTCAACTAGCTTTATTGCTCGATTTTAAGGCTCTTTTTCAACGATTTCCGAACGTTTACTTAGACGAAAATATCAGCCAAATAGCTCTTGGAGTGGCTACAGATGCAAGCAAATGAAGGATAATTTTCTTGGGGACCCCCCCCCCCAACCCCCTCTCAGCGGCGTGCCCCGTCTCCGCGGTCAGTGCCCTCATTTTGAGGCGCCCCCCCCCCTTTTCCAACTTCCCAACGAATATACATGTATAGGACTCTTCGGTCATAGCTGCACAAATCCCTTCTCCATATAAAAATGAAAGTTTATTTCAATCAGGTCATTGTCCTCGCGTGGCTATTCCATAGAAATTGGAGAAAACTTCATTAATTTAACCGAAAAGATTTTATAAAACATATTTATTTCAAATACTATGTCATTAAAAATAAAAACAAAATTGATACGATGGAAGAAACATGGCGTATGACGTGAATGGTCGTGGAATCTGTAAATAGAAAACATAGACTTTGGCAAATAAAATTGACAATAGAAAGACAGATTATGTTATAAAAACACATCTTGAAAATCCAAGAGGTTGGACACGCGATCCTACTCCTTGTCACGCACAAATGGGGAGTCGAAACCATGCCACTCGACTCAATGACAGACCTTATGACCAAACGTACACGCGTTAAACCATTCGGCCACCCAATCCTCCGGTTAAAGATGCATGCATTATGTAAGAGCTAAATTTGCCTATTGTGGGTCTTTCTTTTTGTCTCAAATGTTATATAAATTATTATTTAGACATTTATTTACATGACAAGACCATAATCAACTCTCTAGAGCATTGGATGGCTGTGATATTTAATGGATTGAAACAAGATCGCCATTTAATAATCTAATATAAATATGGATAATCAAAACTGTTATGGTAACAATGGTATTCTTATCAAAACTTCCAACATTCATAGCTTCGCTCAGAATAAAGTAATTTGACTGAAATTTTCAATATATTTCTTTCGCATTGCTTATTTTTAAACTATTACAGCGAGAATGGTCCACTCTTTATCTCATTCGTACATAATGCATCTTTAATGAAATTAAAAGTTAAATGATTAAACTTACATCAAATTAATTTCGACAAACAAACTTTGTATAATTAACCTTGGAAGTACAAAGCTACTGCGTATCATTCCACTGCCGATGCATCGATATTTTCAGTGACATACAGGCTGTATATCTATCACTGTGGGCATTGACTGCGGTATGGCTTAATAATTGTGGAAGCGGACAATAACAACAGATTATCCACACCCACACAAACACACATCGTGGGCCCTTTGCATTTGTCCATAAAAGTGCTGCAACAAAACTCACCATTTAATTTTTCTGGTTCAGCTAAAATCCATTCCTTTCGTTGCGCTTCCATGATACCATTGTAAGTTATAATGTAAAATGTATCTATATCATTTTCTGATACGGATCTTCTTATATAGCGACCATCCGTCCAAACAATGGACACAGATTTGGGTAACCTTTTACCCAGACCAAAATGGGCGACTGGTTCCATTTGAGACATATATCCTGATCCAGAATCTACTACTCTCTTCAACGTTATACTTCCATCTAACGTCAATGTTACGGTAGCCCCTCTTGCAGGAGCACCATATTTTGTGAGGGGCATTATTCTGTACCAATGGTTTCCTGCAACTTTCTTCGCCTCGTAGAGACTTAAAGTCGGTGAGTTCAGATCGTTATGACAAATTATTAATTCTAGATACCCATCACCATCCAAATCAGCTATAGATGCACCTGAATATATATAAATTCCTTAGCAAATAATATTGATGGAGTAAACTATTGGAGCTGATTAAGAAAGATCTTGCAAAGAGCACAAAATCCCCGTACACAAATTACCCTCATTATGAAGACATTTACGCGACAGCAAATACGTTTAGTGTTAATCCAGTAATTCAGTCTTTAATATGACTTTTATAATGTGGCGTGCGTGTGGATTTTTTGTTTGTTTGTTTGTGTGTGTGGGGGGGGGGGGGGGGGGCTTTGGCTCAAGAGGTCCCGTGTTCGCTGCAGGTGTTGGTCGAGGAAGCTCCTCGGGATATAAAAGCGTGGTTTCCCCTTCCCACTGGTGCTGGGCAGATGGTTTGACAAAGAAAGTGTCTTGTCCTTTGGATGGGACGTTAAACCAAGGTCCCATGTACCCGTTGGCGTTCGCATAAAAGAGCCCTTGACAGTTGAAATTCCTCAATAGCAAAACAATTACCGCAGATAAATAGCACTGGGGTACGTACATTTAGGCATATTTGATACAAATTATGAAGATATGAAGGTGAGGGCGATCAAAATGATGGAACTGGGTCCACAGAAAGAAACAAAAATCCGTAGAAAATTTACCAGTTGTGCTTCTAGTTGATTCTTCTGCGTCACCAATATCTACGTTTTCCAAACTCAGAACATTATTAGTTGACTTGGAGGTAAACAGACGATTGTTTGTTACAACATATTTATGTTCAATATTATCCAGAACATAAAACATATTACCATGGAATATATCTATATAACCATCATTATTAAAGTCTGCTGTTATAACCGATGATATTGGTGATGTTCTGGCAAAGTCTTTAGTTGCCACATTCTAGAAAAAATATAATACAAAATGAAAATAAAATGAAATGGGGTTTAAAGCCCTACTTTTTGTTCCGACTGAGCTAATGAAGACACGCATGCGCCATACAGTGTGCTATGAGGAATATTTTGTTAGAAAAGCGGCGCTACGGCCTAATCTTATATCGAATTTTTGGCCCCATTCAAATGACTGACAAGGGAATGACCACGCCGGAAAATACCGATAAACACGGGCTCGAACATAGTACCCCCTAGGTTAACCACCTAACGTTTTACTTATTGAGTTGCCACGGCTCCCAAATGATAATACAAGCAGGAGGGGTATTAGCGAGTGTCTGCAATGGGTAGGTTGTTAAAAAATAAAATTTTCGATTTAACACGATTTAAGACTGGTATTACTTGCTTTAATATAAAGATAAATAAATCTTCGCGTTTTGATGGGATTTTATTTTTACTTTAACGAGAAATTTATTATAAGTAAGTCGTCGAGGTTGTGTGAATGGTAAATATATGAGTATATCAAAGAAAATTATAAACACCTTGGTATATATATATATAATCACGCCTTTAATCACTGACCTGGAATCTTACATCACCATTTGAATTTCTTTGTTGTAAAAACATACGATGAGGGCCTAGCCAATTACCATACACTACATCTATAAAACCGTCATTATTTAAATCACATAGCGATACCCCACGGCCATCTTGATTTTTATCAGCAACTACAAAAATAGAACGAAATATGCAAATATAAATATGGAGGCGCTTGCTGTGGGCTGTGTTCGATCATTTTTTTTTATTTTAAAGAAGTATTATCTCCGTTACCATAAAAAAGTAATAAAATATTTTGAAGAATATAATACTTAAAATAACCCTAAGCTTAATTAGCATACGCATACACAGTGTGCTATGAGAGAAAATTTTGCGCTACGGATACTATTATTTCGATTTCTAACTGCCAGGGGATCTTTAAGGTTATGGCAATGGCATAATCGGGATCTCGGTGTGTTCATACTATTCGAACGACTAGACGCTTTTCGTCGCCAGGCCCTCGCGCAATGAACCACTTACACGGTGAAAAAAGACTTGAAAATCCAGTAGAACCCTCTCGACCTCCCCCCCCCCATGCACACACACACACACACACACACACACACCCTGGTTGGTGAAACTGCCCATATAACGAGCCCTGGTGGTTCTGATAAAAAAATGATAACACAATCTCACCCTCTAATGGCGCTATACTGGTAAATTTTCCATTGCCAGTGTTTTGAAATAAATTGTTGTTACCAATGTTACTGAAGATTGTTCTGCCTTCAGCAGTAATAAAAATATCAGAAAGTCCACGGATACCAAAAATAGATCCGACAGCTATACCTTGACCGCCTGAAAAATAAAAGATTGGTGGAAACAAATTCGTGTACCCAGGTTTGGGGGGGGGGGGCAAACCCTGACTCCCTAGAGAGTGAGGGGTCTGTCTGCCCCTAAGTAAGTCCTGTGTTTTAGGTTTATGTCAGTTCTTTCCGCTTTAGAGCTGAAATTCCCGTTAAAATTCCTTCTAATTTCAAATTTAGATTTGTTCGATTCCTGCATTGGCAGAGAATGTTCATCAGGATTTTTCCGGCGTGGTTTCCCCTTGTCAGTGGTGCAGGACGGAGGGTCTGACAAGTACAGCTGTCTAGTCATTCGGATGGCACGAAAAACCGAGGACCCATGTATACATTGGCGTGCACGTAAAAGATCCCCTGGCAGATGTAATTCGATATAAGAGTAGGCCATAGTGCCACTGTCCAGTAGGACGTTAAACCCCATTTCATTTCATTCATTTCCCTCTCAAAACGTTGTATAAAAAAATCTATTTTTAGAAGCCACGTATATCACCTAACTTGATTGAAGAGAGCTCATTTTTTCAGAATGTACGTCATTTCTTACTGTCCATTTACTATAAGTAAATAATTTTCTGCCAACTTCTTTCCCTGTCGTTTAGTTATTGCAGACTCTGTTATACGTTTACACCCCCAATGTACCCAAAACCGGAAGTGGTAGACTAACGCCACCGGGCCTATGTTACTCCCCGGTCCGAGCTACCCCAAATTTCAGACTCGGGCCAGACCTAGTGTAGCCGCCAACCCCGAACAGACGGGCTTCGCTTGGGGGTCATAACTCCAAAACCGGAAGTGGTAGACTAACGCCACCTGGCCTATGTTACTCCCCGGTCCGAGCTACCCCTATACCCCAAATTTCAGACCCGGGGCTGATGTAGCCGCCAACCCCGAACAGACAGACTTCGCTCGGGGGTCATAACTCCGAAACCGGAAGTGGTAGACTAACGCCACCTGGCCTATGTTACTCCCCGGTCCGAGCTACCCCTATACCCCAAATTTCAGACTCGGGGCAGACCTAGTGTAGCCGCCAACCCTGATCAGACCGGCTTCGTTCGGGGGTCATAACTCCGAAACCGGAAGTGGTAGCCTAACGCCACCTGGCCTATGTTACTCCCCGGTCCGAGCTAACCCTATACATCAAATTTCAGACTCGGGGCAGACCTAGTGTAGCCGCCAACCCCGAACAGACAGACAGACAGACAAACGACAGTCACAAATATATATATAAATAGATAGATAGATGTGGGATTTTTTAAAGGGTCGATGCACATCTTAAACATATTATGACTTTACTTTAATTCGAGTTTGGCATACCTGTTGTGTAATTTATGCCAGCTTCTACAGCCGAATCTATCAACACAATATCCCCGGTAGAAATATTGTTCTTGTGGTCAGCAATATTCATTTCAATCAGGCGAAAAGCACCTCGACCGCCTAAAACGAAGAATCGGGTTACAATAATTAATATTCAAATCAAAATAACATACATAAAATACAAGACTATATAGATACGAACATATCTTAATGAAAGTTCTTAATTTTATCAATATATTAACTGCGAATTTCATCCGCATAGATATGTACAAAATACAAACCAATATAAGTAGCATTACTTTAGTTCTTAAGGGTCATCCGCAAAGATAACATTAACAGGTTTGTGAATACAATGGTTGAATAAAGGATTACTTTTAATCAGACCTCGTAGGCTATTATTCGATCGATCGTCAATTGGTATGTCCAATTAATTCAAACCCTCAAAAGCAGTTAAACCTCTTTGAATTAGGTCAAAATAAAGCAGTGAACCGGCTTCTATTTCGATTAGTAAGCTGAATTTTTTTTGTTACGACAGATGATTTGGTCAGATGAGTTATCTCCCATATTTCACAACTTCAATATTAAACGGTAGATATTATGAGAGTATAATTTCCAATAAGCTTTTAAAAATCAAATGAAATGATTTTTGATGATAAAAATGCTGACGCTATTTTTATATGATCTTCAGTATATATAACATATCCTGGATACAGAAAGCCAAATTATTCCATATACGTTATTTGTTTTCGTGTCTTAAATTGTTTTTAGCGCAGGCTGACTGATGTGTATTTCAAAAGTGTGCGGGAATTGAAATGAGAAAGGTCAATACAAAATTATTAGAAGACCTGGGTGTGTTATTTTTTGAAAATTAAATGCAATAGCCAGGCTATAATACATACCATCAGCGTATGTAGTGAGTACAAAGCCATATTTTCCATCACCATTTCTGTCTAAACAAGCGACAGATCTACCGGCAAACATTGGTAACCCAGCATTTACCACATCACTAAATAGATCTACGTATTTACCATTTCGCCATATAAACAGTTTATCTCTATATGTTTTAGGACCAGAGTAATGGTGATTAGTGTTTAATATGTAAATCTCTTCTCTCCCATTACCATCTATATCACAGGCACACACACCACGTCCTGCTCCTAAAAAAATTAAAGAAATGGGGTTTAACGTCCTACTTTTCTGCTCCATAGACAGGACTGTAAATATACAATTTCTCTGTAATAATTTGCTGGGTTCTTCTACTATTACAGATGATGGATTCATTATAACGCTGTTCGGAACCATTTTGGTCCCGGCTTATATATTGTGCGCGGTGCTATACTATGTGTGAAATAGCTTTAGTGATATCGCCGAGAATACCGACGGCTCATTGTTTTCCCTTGTCAGGGATGCAGGACGGAGGGCCTGGAAAGCAGTCTCTAGTCGTTCGGATGGGACGAAAAACAGAGGTCCCGTTCAAACGTTGGCGTGCTTCTAAAAGAACTCCTGGGGCCTGTTGCTCAAAACTAAGTTATTTTAACGATCCGTTAGAGTTTAACGGATCGTTATCTTGGTAACTTGTCGTTTGTTAACGGTCCGTTAAATTTCTGTTGCTGGAAAGTCAATTTCATTATCCGTTAGCTAACGGATTCATTAAAGTTAATCCAAGATAATACTGTTTGTTTATTGGCTGAATTTTAAATTTTTGAATTCAATGTACATGTATAACAACTTCATAGAAGTTAGTATTAACAAGAAACTGAAGACAGTGAGACAACTAACTGTGCGGTCTGTTCACAAAACTTGATTAAAGACAAAAAGATAACTAGAATTTACTACAGAAAACACCATAGAATACTTTATTTTTTCCTTTAGAAATTTTAGCATAAATCTGTAGGAAAAAATATGGGATTTGCACTACAGAATTATGGGGCCATTATTTCCTACAGGCCACCAAAATTCTGTAAAATAGTATAGAATTTCATCCTATAGAAAATGGAATAGTCCCGCATCGCCCAACCCTCTAGAATGTTCTATAGAAAATTACATAGGTACAATGTAATCTATGACTTTTTGCTACAGCCAACTAATGCCATCATTAAACAGATAACGGAGACCAACACCTCCGTTAAATATAACGCCAAGTTAACTACACGTTAAAGTTAACGGGGCTTCCAGCAACAACCTTTCTCTCCGTTAAAGTTAATGATCCGTTAACTCCATGTTAACGGATCGTTAAAAGATAACAGAACTTTGAGCAACTGGCCCCTGACGGAGTAGACCGTAGCGCCGTTGTCCGGGCAAAATTTCTCTCATTTATGGCGTGTGCACGTCTTCTTTGGCCCAGTCGGACATTAAATCCCGCGTCATTTCTTGCTGTAAGGAAGGCGACAATCCTTGATTTTTCTAAAATTGTAAGATGACAATATTGAACGGCTCACCTGTTGTATCTCTCAGTGCTTCATAAGGTGAATCTAATTCCGCTATGTTAATATATCTACCTTCTTTTAGTTTCAATACTAAATTTGGTCCATTATACCTACAAAAAAATCACGCGTATAAGAACAACCTTTAACTTGGTGTGTAAAATCATAACAGAAAACATCTTGCCGCACATTTATTTATTCAAATCAATGTTATCGTAAGTTATTGGCACTTGAAGTTTACATTTAGGTCTTTGTTTATCATACGCCACCAGGTATATACGCCTACAACAATATTTGATTTGTATGTTATCAGAACTCGCGGTGGATCAGTGAGTAGGCTTTGGCTCGCTAAGCCGGTGTTGGCCGAGAAAATTCTCTGGGATTTTCTAGCGTGGTTTCTCCTTGACGGAGAACAGTGTCTAGTCGTTCGGATGGTTCAAACGCCCTCAGGTTCCGTTTACACGTTGGCGTGTATGTCAAATATTGACAGTTGGAATTCGATACAAGAGTAAGCCGTAGTGCCACTGTCCGGGCAAAATTTCCCTCATAGTCGGTTTAGAAACGCAGGACGTTAAACCCCATTGCATTTGTAGCCTATCTGTTAACATCCACGTCAAACTAACTTCTGGCATATGTCTGGTTCTGGCTTATTTAAAGAACTTTTTTTTAGCTCTTCCATTTTTTGATGCATTTAAATCGTTTTCGTTCGAATCAATTGATGTTCTTTAAGCCTATTTTGACACAGATCATGTGAGAATTTTGTAGTTGTTGCTTAATGTATTTTACCAGAGCTGTGGAGAATTACCACCACTTAACCGGCTGGTCGGCTTTGATATTTTACATGTTTTTTCCAAAGAAAAGGAAAATCTTTGCTAAGGTGTGGGGTATTAGTTTGTGTCTCGCGGGCTCACTTGTGTAAATGGATTGACATTTCTAAAAGGAGAATGCCCCTGGCTGTCCCTGAATACCGCAAATAAGAGTTCAGACTTGCTACGCCTACACATATAAGTTTAACATTCGACATTTTTTAACGTAAAACTTGCCCTGTGAGGATCCATTCAAATTCTCCATCATTATCAACGTCTGTTACGGCTGCTCCATTCAATGTATGGCTTATATTAAATTGTAGAAATTGCTCAGTTTTATCTTCAAACATGGTGTTCATTAATGGTACGATAATCATCAGGATGATTCCAATGACAAATACACGCATGTACATTTTTGTACCAGCTTGATATCACCTAATAATATATAAATATGCATGGTTCTTACAGAAAATTGAGGAGGAGGTTATTCCTAACCACTGCAACTTTTTATTTGGACAGCCTGTAATAAACAAACACAAGGAGTGCTTGGTATTTCACATGTTCCTGAAGCAACGACTGCGAGTTTTATAATATCTGGACGTTGCTAGACTGCTTTACAATTCCCGAACTTATATAGCTACGTTCTCTCTATTGCACACGTGAACAGTAGCGTCCAATCAAAGTCTGTGACACAAAGACGCTCAAATCAAATATAGCGACCTCCACGGAAGCCTTCACATTGAAAGATCCCTGACCTTTGCAACTCGATTATCACAGGTAGACATTTTAGCTTGAAAGCGCGAAACTTGGTATTCTCGATGATCGAGGAATCTGATAGGCTCTCGAAATTACTGCCGAAATATCCAAGGTATTACGTGAAGGCTTTGAAGAATAAACTAATATCTAAACATGTCTCTGATTTACTGTGTTTTTTTATGTACTACATTTCCAGATCCCTTGAAAAGTACCATTATAATTTGATATATTGAATGACGAAATAGGTACTGAACGAAAAAGCTAACGAGAAATCACTTTTAAACTTTTAAGGTCTTACGAACCAAATGATTTCTATCCGCAAAAACAAATGTTGCCCCCCCACACACACACACACAATGGGAACCTTATAAACAGATCTCTTGCAAAGTACCATTCAAATTTAATATTCCCATACAATGGGAATCTTACACACATATTTAGAGATGTGCAGCGGAATCAAAAAGAAATGTTTTTACCAAGCTCTAAGAAAATCATTATTTAAATCGAAGTGAACTCATTTTCCGCTAATTTTACCGCCCCCCCCCCTCCACCCACGCAAACCTGCAACCACCCACGCCACCTCACCACAAATCAAAACAGTTGTCCAGCCGCATCATAAACACTTATTTAGAGATGGGCAGTCCCAGAAATTTATGTTTTATTAATATATAACATGATAATCATTTATGTCAACATAATGACATTTCCCCCCAATTGTAGACATTGGACGCCCCATATCTTGAAAACGCCCCCTCAAACGCCTGATCACCACCCAGATTCGGAATCTATGCAAAAAACTAGGTCTCATAAATTCACAGCTCGGGTGGCGATTCTCCCCCTTCAGCCACCGGACTATTTGGGGGGAAATTGTAATTCATAAATACGGTATATATGAGTTAATATTTATTCGTAAAACAAAACTGCAGTTATAAATATATCTTGGTTAATAAATTAGAAAAGATATTCTTTGAGATGAATTGACCAATCTTCCTGCAGTGCAAGGTGCCCAAATTTCCTTTTCTGGTTGGCGTGTTGCTTTGCCAGGGCAGTGACGTCCCAATCTCAACTTATACCAGTATTGTTTAAACCAAACCCTGGGGCATGTTTCACGAAATTTTATCTAAGATAAAATCAAAATTTTAGTAATTTGATTGGATAATATTAGATTGATTTTATCTTAGTTAAAATTTCGTGACAATACAAATAACCCGCCATTTCCATTAAGGCGTTCTCGTGGATTTTAGGACGATAATAAAAACATTTCTCTGGTGTAAGTGCGATATTAAAATGACTTGACATCACTGGCATGGGTCAAAAATAAAAATCATCGATTTCATTGGATTTCTCTTTGTTAAAAATTTACGTCAACTGATGGTCTTGTGTTCCATTGTCGACACAGCACAACGCATAAAGGCAAAATTGAGATATGCAGATAACTGATTTTTCGTTTCACCTACCTGAAGGAGCCTTATTGTATAAATTTCAATACCAGTAAAAAATCAGTAAACCCAAAACATAACATAAAAGGCAACATAGTAAGGGTTAGCGTTATGGTAAGGGAAATTATGACACAAATATATAGCCCCATCGGGTAATATTTATGAACAGTTTCATTTCAAATAATTTTGCCTACCTGAAGAAGCCTTATTGTATAAATTCCAATACGAGCAAAGACTTCTCCACAATAATTAATGATGTACAGCAACGCATTGTTACGAAGAAAACAAATGTTGATTAAGCCATATGCTCGGAGAATCACCTATATTTCCTTATAAATAATAAATACCGTCTATTGATCTATCGATTCCTCGAAGGTACACGATAACATGTAATAGTATTCACCAACGCTATATTTTAATTAATAAAAATTAATTATCCAATGTAAACTTAATTTTTATTCCATGATATTATTTGGTTTTAAGTGATTCTTTAGAAATGTTCGTGACATTGTTTTACATAAATCAACGCGTGTTATTTTGTATTTTTAACTGTAGAGTTGTGTTTGCCGGTCGTTCCACGCCTGACATTGAGTAAAGACATTCAGACCATAAAATACACTAGAATATATTTATTTTTAACGATCTTTATTTCTTAGTAACTGAAATTTGTTTACTCGCAATGAACGATGTATCGGCTGCATCCCCTCACCCTGAACCTGGCTGGCTTCCTTTTTACAGAACTAAAAATTCTTCAAATGCGAATATCAGCAGTCTCTGGAGTAGTATTAACATGGGCTTAGACTAGGGCTGTGTATTGCATCCCCAAATAATTTTACAAGATACACACTGCGATACAACCATGTGTATTTTTATATATTGTAAAGTACATTTCTTTGTGAACAAAACAAAACAAAAACACCATTCACAATAACTGCAAAGGGGTTAGACTTAAAGGAGCTAAGTCTCTAACTCAATATCATCCAAAATCTTCAACATTTAAAACACGAATTATTTGTCAATTTAAAACAACATTGATGCTGTGATCTTACCGGTAAAAGATGGGCTACTGATATCCAATATTTAAGACAAAATAAATATTTTACCATTGGTACACGAATCATGTACCATAATGCGTTTCAGCCCCAGTTCTAGCAAGAGACTCGAGGAACGAGGCTAGACATATTGCACCAAACCAAACGGTGTATGTAGACTGGAATAACCAGACGCTAGGAATTTGCATTCGATTGAGACTGCTGGCTTATTTCACGGAACATAACTGATTTGAAATTAGAGTAAAAACGGAAACGATTGAATGTAAATCAGTTTATATACATTCATATTACAGTATTATATGAGTTGCGACCCACTTGTGTCAATTTCTAGGTCCCAAATATTAGCGATTTAGCTCCTTTAAGACGGGAAGTTTTGCAAATGAATAGTTGTTTTCCTTTCACCAATCTGGTCAACAAATTTCATAAAGACCAAATAACGATAAACTTAAAATAAATGACCAGCGATAGAACCAGCAGAGAACAGTAGGACATTTGCATTTGCAATAACCACCATTGCATTACTAAGAAATATTCTGTTTTCGGCATCTTAAGAAATCCACCCTGAATTTGTTCATGAAAAAATATAAGTAAACATTTATAAGCACAAATCTTTTAATATTTTTAACATTACTTATAACATATCATTATATACAATTTAGCAACCAGCACAATCTTGTTAAATTTACCACCAATAATATACACAAGCGAAAAGCATGAAACAAATAAATGAGCAATTTGAAGAATTTGTACCGGTACAACCATTAGTGGGCTTTTTCAAGCTTTTGAAGTAAATAAAATTTGCCACATTTGGAATCATTCAGTTAATTATGTTTGTTTATTTCAATATAAGAAATTTGGTTGAGCTTTCACTCTAGTGGGCTTCAATTGGGCACAGCATTCAAATATGTAACTGATTTCAATATATATAACTGAGTTTACAAAGTATGTATGTACTATCTACATATTTATATCACAGCAAGTGTGGACAAATATAGTAAAGGCAGCCAGTGCTTTCAAATATATGTATTTGAATTAAACAATAAACAGGTGACAAGGTGTTTATTGCAAAAAAAAAAAAATTAAAAGAAAAACCATTATGTAAGAATAGTGGAAGGAGCATTTCATAGGCCAAATGGTTACAATATGTAATTAAATTATTGTGAAAACTATATTTCTTCTTATATTGGATGGAAATAGATGAAACTATGTTAATTTAAACACTGACAAAAACATTTACTGAATAGTAACACCAACTACCTACATGCATAAACAATTAGTTATTTATATGAATGTATAAATTCTATCAATGCAACAAACATATAAATGAAGATAATGTATAGTGAAGTGTTATTTGTTGATACAGTATGTTGTGGTTCATACATTTATTTAGAGGTAACTTTGATTAATAACAATAATATGAAAATGGGTAATCAATATATATGAAGAGATCAATGCTGAAAGGTGCCCTGATAAATAAAGATAACCATGCAAAGTTTGGAAATACACCCACGCAGCAGCTATATCTAAAAAAAAAAGAAAAAAGACACCAGCATTTGCGAAAGGAAAAGTTGAATGTTGACCCAATTTGAAAAGGGTGCCCTCAAAGAAATCTTATCTCTATCTGTTCTCAAGCTTTTCTGGATACGAAATTTATAGAATGCTGAAAATTTTTAGGATTCATCCTCTCTGAGCCCAATGCTTTACACTTTTATCTGAAATTCAACAGGGTTCATCCCCTAGCTGAAAAACAATAGGTTTCATTCTCTCACACTGACATTTTGACAGAAAATGGGCCATAGATGCAGAAAATCAAGTTTTTCCTCTCATGACCCCAATGGTTCAAACTTCAAACCAAATTTAAATCCATTATGCTAAAAATCAATACGGTTCATGCTCGATCATACAACGCTCACACAAAATTTGAAAAACAGTAGCCTGGACATTACATCAATACGGAAGGTCGCAGAACACACAAAATCAATAAGGCTCATTCTTTCATGACCGAAATGCTTCACACTAGATGTGAAAAAAAAAAATCAGTTAAAAATGTAGACTATATCGCATTCACAAGTAAACGGTTCACAGACGAACTGACAGACAGGGTGACGAAAATACGCTCACACTGAAATTAGTGCTATACCGGTAAAAAGAAATAACATTAACGCTTCTCAAGATAATATTAAAAGTAGTGAGCTTACAGTTGAGCCTTCTGCGGAGCTAAAGTCTTTTTTTCATATCTATTAAATAATTAATAAAATTACATTTCTAATAAGTTGACACTAATAATAAACTAAGTAAAAATAATAATTTTAACAATGCGGTAAATCATTATTACAAAATCACTACACAATTAGTAGTACATTATACTAAACTAAATTTAATTCTACTTTAATACTGGTACTAGGATTAAAAAGAAAATTAATATCACTAGAAATCACACAAATTAGTCAAAATTAGTATTTTAAAAATAATTGCTCATGAAATAGGAAAAGAGAATATATTTTGAAATTTGTAGCAAATCACTTGAGAAATTCAATATTCAAATAATATAGTAAACTTTTATGAAAAAAACCCTTCTTCAATATTTGTAGGATTAAAAAGAAAATTGATATATAATGTATTCCCTTCACCTTATTTTAATTATTGCAAACAAATATAGTGAACTGGAATATACATGTGTCTTAAAAAATAACAAATATGTAGTTTAACTGTATAACTTAAGAAGTGTGGTGTTTTGCTAAGAAAGAACTTCTTGTAGAACAATATTCATATCTAATAATAATAATAACACAAGAAGTACAACAGAACCGTAACAAACACTAAATAATTTCCTTGGAGGAATATGAAATAGGTAGGTGAACTTTCTAAATGGAAGACATTCCACTTAAGCATCACTGAGTATTTGTCTGTAGTTCTTTAAAACTAATCACTTTCTAGTCAAACTTAAAAGTTAACATCCTTCCAGCAAGACAAATTAATTAAATATATACAACAGGAAAAAAAAGAAGGCATAATATATATGTATAATTGATATTTTTAATAGATATTAGAAATAAGCATTAAACTATATTCTATATTTGAAAAATAAACCTAAAGCTCCATGAACTGTACAATTTCAACAATATATAACTTGCATAAAAAACTATGCTATGAAAATACATATATTCAACCATAACAAAAATTTCAATGCCTGTTCACAGCTCCCTTTCTAACATACATATAGTTCAACATTAGAAAAATATGTTTTTTTGTAACATTAATAAATCTTTATTATGAGGTAATGAACAATACATTTAACAACATACATTCACACACCAGAGACAATATAACAATATCACTCTAAAAACTATTTATGGAATAACAATTACTGGTTTATTAATATGCTACTTTTCGATGAAGATGACAAGGATACTTCTGTCTTTATCAAGCAAATAGTTTTTAATGTGTTACTGTTTAATTACTAAACGTTGATCTGCTTAATTCCTAGATATGGTTGAATCTTTAGGTACTTACTTATCTCAAAGTGTTTTTCTCAGGCTATAAACAAGTAAGACATGGATATTAAGCTTCATTAAGTTCATAAAATTGAAAATTTTGCATTTTCTTACATATAGGGCCTACTAAGATTGATAGTGACATTAAGTGTTCTAATAATATTAAGCATACCCTGCCTCTTACATACCCCAAATGGAAAATTGTATCATTGCCCTAAACATATCCTGTGTTATATATGTTGTGAGTTATAATTTTACACATACACTCTCTTATATTCATCTAAGCAAACATACATTTCATCCTAAAATTGTATCATTGCCCTAAACATATCCCGTGTTATATATGTTTGAGTTATAATTTTACACATACACTCTCTTATATTCATCTAAGCAAACATACACTTCATCCTGACGTAACTAAGGTATACAACCAGTGTTAATATCTATATCATTTTAGTTAACTCCAAATGTTATATTGGGATGCAGGCATCATTTAGGCAATATCAATGTAACAAATTTCAGAGATTTTAATGCTATGTTCTGACAGAAAGTAGGAAGTGACCAAATCTAACCAACCTATTGAGGAAACAACTTTCAAACCATTTTGGAAGTATTCATTGTAGTTTTATCTATCAATTACTGTACTTATTTTACACAACAGGGTTCGGAGCATTTGATTAATGCTATTTCAACTATTCTGGCAAAAAACATTTTGGGGAATTTTATTAATGGGTTTTCAAATCATCTGGCAAAAAAATGTTTTTGTCAAAATATGAAAGGATTAGTTTAAGAACTGAATTGATTAAACATCCTGTGCTTACTTTTTCTCGAATTGTAGCAATACAGCAACTGATCTAACAAGTCATTGTTTACCTTAGTGATTCTAGTATGACTTGATTTATACATGAAAGACTTATTTACTTAATATGGGATAAATGTATTTAATATTCTTCTATGAAATCTATTGAACTTACTTTAATATTTGTGTCTTAATGAATAAATATTTGGGTGCAATAATATGCTAAAATTCAATGCATCAGTGCAAAACTGTGTAGAGATAAATTAGACATCGTAAAAAGATAATAGAGGTGCAACCAAAAAATGTAGTCTTAATAGAACAGAAAATCCTTGGTTTTGGTTTTGTTTTCAATATCTTTGCATAGCACTGACCTTCTCTATGGAAAAATTTTAAATGCAGAAAGGTTTTCCCCCTGCAAAACAACTGAACACAGACTTATTCAAATCTAAAATTATATTTTCCAACCAAATCAAGGAATCCTTCTTTAAGACACCATTCTTATATTTATAGTTGATATAATTATATAGATAATCTCTTTTTTAAATTATCGTAATGTTCTATTCTCAAAAGAGAAATGAATGAAAAAAAATGAATTCCTGTTCATCAGTTCAGATCATGGCATTCATGGGACATTCACACACCATGTGCCCGTCACTGTTAAAAAGTTTCTTCCACATCAGTTAGAGAATTGGCATGAATTCTTTCTCTTGTTGAGTGATCTATATTACTGAGTGAACGCCTCAACATCTTCTCTGAACTGCTTAATTTACTGATATCCATGGTTACTATTTGAGTTTGGCACCCTGTAATTATAAAATTACAATTATTAATGATGATGAATGTTTCAAATTAAAATTCTAAATACCTAAGTTTCAGCAAGGAACCCATAATTTATTTCTTCCCTAAGCAACAGAGTACAACTAGGCTTGCTCAAACCACAAAGTGGTCTTCAGTAGTTCATGAGAGAAATTTCATGTTCACATTGGATAATGAAAGCAAAAATCTTATGTCATGGTACTACTCTGGAACTCTACTATAATGTTGACAGTGTTCTCCACTGGCTCCACCATTGATTCAAGGTGACCCTGATAAACCATATTCTTGCAACAATGGTTACACACATTATCAGCTCATTGACCATTGTTAAACTCACAATGGTAAAGTGCTGTTTCTGATTAGTTATCTGCCCTGAAGTCCATTTACTATATCGAAGGAAAGCACACTAAACACAAAAATCTACTTTCAGTGAGGTTTAAGTCTCTTATAAGCTTTAAGAAGAAATAAAAAATAAGTCCCATGTTGTATTCAGAACCACAGAAACTCTGAAAAGCAAACACAAGCATCATGCAAGCAATTAATTTTTTTAAATGTTTTGATTAATTTAATTCAAATTTAGCAGTCAATAACTTTAGTCCATGCTGTTTATTATATATATAAACCTTTAAAAAATGGAATAAAATAATAAAATTGTTTTTCAAGCTGCCATTAATAAATAAAACAAAACATGGATTTTAAAAATACCAAATAATAATTTCCCCCAAAAAAATATTAATTCAATAACAAAACCACATGCTACCATAAACTGACAAAATAAACTTACCACAGTCAAATTGATAACAATTAACAAAAAGTTGAGAATAATAGAATATTCACCATGCTTTTAAAATAGGAGCTAGGGTAAATATAATACAGTTAATCATGCAGTAAGTCTCTTTAACATAATACTTTATTATTTTAATAAATTTTAATAAGGAACAGGAAGTACAAAATAAGTTATTCTAATATAATACTATTTTATTTTAATAAATGGTAATCAGGAACGGGTAGGGAGAGTATTAACTATGGGTTAACTTCTGAAACACCTCATATAAAAACGCTTTTAGTACCATATTAGCAGTAAATAATAGTGTTTAAGGTATATTTATTTTCAAGCTTTTTAACATACTAATACCATTGTCATCAAATTATTCCTTGGTTTGTCAGAAAATCTGCTAATATTATTTATTTTGCTTTTATATAAACTGGTATTAACTGTTTTGTTTTCAATGAATAACATTGTAGAGTTTTCTTGGTTTTTTTTAATTTATTTTACAATATTTATTTATACAGGGCAATCTATGGGATATCTCAACAAAATTCTATTTTATAGACATAAATGTCGGTCAAGCAACCAAGTATTCCCGTTACAATTCAAGCCTCCATCTAAGGAAGACCTTTTAATCTATGTAATCATGATATTGACTTCCAGTTTACCTGTTTTTTTCGGTCTTTCCTATGGTCAAATACCAGGAAGTGGAATCAAAATGTTTCCTTAGAAAAAATGAGCTGACAATAAGGAACTAATAATCAGTGAACTGAACAAACTCATTGTACACAAGAATACAAATAGTTCTCTTTTTAACAAAATAGAAGTTGCCAGTAAACAAAACATACCCCCCCCCCCCCCCACACACACACACACTCCCAGGAATTTAGTCACCTTTGGTTTAAGTTTTAAAAACATTTTTGTTGCCTATAGCCAATTTATTACTTAAATAAAGATACATTTCCACAAATGTATTTATTTGGTAGTTATTTCTAATAAAAGTATGGCATATTTGGTATATATGGAAAATAAACACACTCAATCTTAATAGAAAGATATTGGATTCTCTGAAAAATACACATGGGGCACCAACATGACAAAAATATAAAGGTGTCCCTAACTGACAGCCTGTCAGCTCAAGTGATATAAGGAGCGCTTCTTATGTGTTGATTTAATGGCTAACCTAACAGTAGCAAAAACATTGAGGGACTTAAATGTCCAGTAGAGTCTGCTATTAAACAGCGGGAATATAAGTTGGCAAAGGATAATAAAATAATTTATTTAGGGTTTCGATATTTATGGTAAATGGACAACGACTAACAGGCTGAAAATGGATTCTCCCTTAATCAAGGGAGCAGAACTGTAGTACGTTAATCCCATTTTATTTCATTTCCCTCAATCAAGTCCTGTGACAACCAGGGGTTGATAAAAATAAATTCAATCAAGTGCAAAGATCAAGACATTGGCTGACAAAATTTATTAAATCTCCTGTATATTTCATTGACACCCAAAAAATAATTCTAGCCAAAAACTGGGTTTCTGAGAATAGATAATGTTGGACCAATCGATGAACGGACAAATTGTGAAGATGGTTGACAGCAATATTCAACCACATTAGAAAATGGAGGTACAAAGATGACGAACTTCAACTACAATTCTAGTTAAATTAAATACAACTATAGGAAGAGTATTAGATAGATAGCATGCAAGGGTGATAATCAGACACCACCATATTGAGAACGTAATCAAAATATATGTACCAAATTACCTCAGAAAATAAAGATTCAAGCGGAGCTGCAAGTATTATTAATAATATTTCACATCTTTTATCAATATTATGAGGGTAAATGTCAAAATCATATTTGTGATATGGGGGGTTGGCATATAATTCTATCCCATGAACCTTCTTGTTTACCAAATAAACCTATTCATATTTGACAATATTACTGGAAGCTGTTTTCATACCTCCTACTGTCGCTAAGTCAGACTTTTGACGAGTTTGAATTTATTCAATTTATAGCTTCACGACTATCTTAAATATTCATATTTTAGAATATTTGACATTCAGTAATTATAATAATTGTCTATAATGCAGTTTTATTTTCTATATGTCTCATCTTAATACAAAAATTTGAATTTCAACATTTTCAAGTATGTGTATTTTATATAAAAGCTCCTGACCACATCATTTTGCATCCAGAAAAATTATCATGCAATAATCTAACAAACAGAATATAATTCCAATTTAATACATTTGCAAAATCAATCCAAAAAACACATATTTGAAAGAATTGTTTTTTAACAAAAAAAAAAAAAGTTAAAAAATAACATCACATATGAAATGAATGATCATGAAAAAAGAATCAAATCATGCAAAGGATATACATACTATTGTTAATATCAATATGATGATGAACAAGGGAAAATCTGAAATACTGGTGAATCAATTTACAAATAATCTTAATTTATAATGAACAGAGAGAGAGAGAGAAATGGGGTTTAACATCCACTCGACACAAACTTGGTAATTTCGGGACTAACACATGGTTCAATTTTATTTCAATTTTTCGCTTGCGCGTGGGGTCTTTAGCAGTGGGAGGAAACTGGAGGACCCGGAAAAGCCCCACGAGGCTGGACAGGCGACCCTACTCCTTGTCACATACAACCACAGTTATAATAATAAACAAGCAATTTATTGAAATAATTTTTTTTTAAATGTGACCCCATTGCACATTGTTGGTGTAAAATGTTTGCCTGGGCTTGATTTCTTGAAGATAATTTGAATTTGATATGTAAGCTTATATATTTCAGATTTCAAACTTCCCTTAAACTTGAAGATGCTGTACTATATAGTTGTCGCATGCAGAAGTCTTCAATCAATAATGCTATATAATTTTGATTCTCATGCAAATCAAATATACATGTATTTCTAACAATAAATAAACAAAAAATTTGGTATCAAGCCCCATCATAACTGATCTGATCATACCTGGCCAAACAATTTATCATCACCCTAAGAATTAACAGAAATTATAGCTCTTCTTATTGTTTTACTTTAAGTTTTCTCAAACAAAAACAACTTATGTATTATTTAAATTGTACTTCTTCAAAAACAACAAAAACACCTTAATAGCAAGTTAATTGACTGACAGAGGAATTTGTCAGCTGTTTCATTTCAATGTAGTACTGACAAATATGACAAAAAAAGAGGCTAATGCTTAGCGTTGTTCTGTCATTTTGAATTTCAGTTTTAAAAGCAGGTTTGATTAGAAATATTTTTATATTAAAACCCACAAACTTCTGTTTAAAATAATAAAATGATTTTTTTTTAAATGACTCACACCCACCATTGGCAAAATTGTTTAAAAACCTTTTAGTCCCACTCCCAACAAACTTTTAAGACTGCAAAATGCACCGTTCGCAGTCAACTCAGTGTAGGCACACACGAAAAGTACCTGGACAAAGTTGACTGGAAACAAAAATAAACTGTTATCAATATCATCCAGTCTCATAAACAAAATGTTAATCAATACAGTGGAAAAGAAATATAGTGAAAAAGAAAAATCAACAGAAAAAAAAGATGAACCATGCTGGATGGTAGGCTAACTGAATTACCTGCCCTTTATAGGGTTAAAGCCCAATAGGTGACAGTATCAGTCAGAGAACAAAGCGATCCTAGAGAGCCTAGAATTGTAGGTAGTAAAAGAAGGTAGTCATAATTAATAAATATAAGTATTGAGAGGAAATAATATTTAAGCAAATGACCATGCTAAATTATTCCCTGATCACTGTGAGCCAGGGAAGTCTGAAGAAGCAGCATTTAATAATACACTCCACCTGGGTCTATTATAGTTTTATTGTTATGTCAAACAAAGATGCCTACAAAACTCTCACTCATATGTATTGAATATTATGTATGAAATTAAAATTTTATTGTCTCAATCTTTAAATTGATTGAGTATAAAACATTATTGTCTGTCTATTCCTCTTACATATGTGACATTGAAGTGGATTAGAAAATTTTATAGATTCCATAATACAAAAGTCAACAGGAATAAAACAACAACAAAATATATGCAATCAAATCAAGTCAGCATGTGGCAGCTTGGGTGAGATCAATTAAATTATCTTTTAGCGATAAATCAAGAAGCTATAAAATGGCTATAAATCTTGATCCTGTTAGTTAAGCCACTCCACCAAGGAATAGTCCAACATGGTCATTCACTTTATAATATATAGAATATAAAAACAAATCTAAGAAACATGTACTAGTATGATATTAGTCATAAACTAAAGCAGAGGGCATTAAGATAGGATATTTGAACTCAATATAAATCTAAATTATCCAGACAAATATTTTATAATTCTTAAAAGATAATTTCTAAGAGTATTAAATCGAATTTGAAAGAAATCTAACCAAATTGCCTAAATTTGTTTGATCTTTTTTTTCTCCAAGGAAAGTAACTGTGGAACACTTTAATAACAAAATATAGACATAGGCTATTTAAGACAAAGAATATAGTATGTACAGCAATAGAGACAGTGATATAGAAGATGAATGACACCTATCAATCATTTTAATCAAATAGTTTTATCCGAATACATGTACTTACTAGTTGATCTTTTTCTACGCTCAAATTTTAAAGTTTTTGCCCTTCTGGCCATAGTTTTCCTAGCATATACAGCATTCCTCATAATAATTGGTTTATCTGCAGCAAACTTCGCTTCTTCTGCCAAATCTTCAAAGAATTCTACAACAGATATATTAAATTTGGGGAAAAATGTTTAGTTGCTATCTTAAAAGGGAAGCAACTATCCTTGACCACTGATTATCTCCCCTTAGACCACAGTCAGTACAAATAGTGCAGACATTTAAAGGATCAAATCTTATATACCATGTTAATTTAGTAAAAGTTATACATTGAATTACAATAATCAACTATTTAATATTTAAAAAATTAATATGTATTAAACACTATATTTAAAAAAAGATAACAAGAACACAAATTAGTCAAACTTGGTCATGCGAAAAAATGTTTAACCAATGACATATTGAACACACAACTTACGCTTTAACTTTTTCACATTAACAGCCATTTCTTCTTTTGTTTCTGCATCAACTAATGAAGTTTTTTCATTAACTGCTGTATCCAGTTTATTTAGTGACATCTCTGCTTCTTTTAATCTTAATTCAGCAGCTATTCGGGCTTTAATCTCATCCTATAAGTAATAGTAACAAATTTCAATAATGAATAATAATAATCTAATTCAGCTAAAACACAATTACACTTAAAGTTGGTCTGTTGTGTGGATACATCAATTAAAACATATCACAGTTTGATTAGTAAAAAGACTTTGGGAATATACTTCAACAATCCTTATAAATATAAGTAAGTTTGACACTTTAAATTCCATACAATATGTAAAACATAACACATTCTCTTCTGGAAACAATATGGGCTGTTTTATTTTGTATCTATGGAAGAGATTTTTCTTTGCAATGAGTAAAGACTCTCATCACAAATTCTCTTTAAGCTTTCTTTAAATTCTGTAACATTAAGCAAAATGGTACTATTCCTATGTTGTTCCTGCCTTTTGAAATGACCCACCGTGGATGCCAGATTATTTATATGTTTAGCAATGTGTTCAGATGAAGGAACATTTTAGTCTTAATGTAGGCTGGATCCTCATTTCACTTAAGTATGGTTGGATACCTGTCATGTTAGACAATCTAAACAAAAACAAGCCACTGTTTAGCAACATTATTTTCCATTTTAATTCAGTTTTAAGCAGCTTATTAATTGGTGACTATGTACTTACTCGCAGCTCTGTTTCTGTTAATTCTTTCTGTACTACTAAATCCTACAATAGAACAATTAAATACAACCAAATATAGCATTATATGTATATCAACATAAGTACAATGGTCAAGTAGTTTTTGACTCAATGAAGACTCTGAGGTTTTCGACACAAAACAATTCTTGCCAATCATATATTAAGCCAGTCGCAGAATGGGTTAATAAAACAAATTTCGAAATAGGTTACTGTACTGTCAGAAAGAAATTAATGTTTTAAATGCAACCTTTCGCCAGTGGCATTAATTTCAAAGGATATTTTTGACTTTGCTCTCCTGTAAATCAGTCATATTGTCAAACATAATACCCAACAAAACAATACTATAACTAAGGTGATTAAATAGATTTAAAATACAGATGTGATGTCATTCTTTGATGTTGGCGTACCATTATTTCAAATAATGGTACAGGAAATGTGCCAAGCGTACACTATTTATACTAGTTGAAATTTTGGACCCGTGTGACGTATTTCATTGCAAAGCATGTGCAATGACGTCCCTCTTGTTGTTTCAATATATTACTTAATGTCTCACTCTTGACCATTAAAACACACGTAAGTATCTGCTAAGTATCTCCTAAAATAACAAGACCCCGAAGAACTGTTTCATTTTATACAAAATTTGGGAAAATGGAAGGCCCCTTTAATTTCATGATGCATTAATTTCTTGTTTACAGTATCTGTACTTTGATTATGTATTAATTTCTTGTTTACAGTATCATACTTCGCAAAAGTCTACATTATTTAAAGTAGATTGTAATTCTAGAGCTTTTTCACATTATACAGGATTAAAGAGACAACAAACCTTTTTAGTAGATTGTAATTCTTGAGTATATTCAATTCATATAGTATCAAGAGAAAACAAACCTTTCTATAATAGATTGTAATTCTAGAGCATGTTCACAAAATACAGGATTAAAGAGATAAAAATCTTTTTAGTAGAGTGTAATTCTAGAACATGTTCACATTATACTGGATTAAAGGGATAACAAACCTTTATAATAGACTGTAATTCTTGAGCATGATCAATTTATACAGGATTCAGAGAGAATAAACCTTTGTAATACTGTGGATTGTAATTCTAGAGCATGTTCACATTATACAGGATTAAGAGACAACATACCTTTATAGTAGATTGTAATTCTTGAGCATGTTCACTCAATGTCTGTTTTTCTTCTTCCATTTGTTTCACAGCTTCTTGATTTTCTTTAATTCTATTCAAATTTAGAGATATGTTTATTAAAATTATTAAATTTAAAGTCATTCATTTCAAATTAAGAAACAAAGTATCTAATTCAAATATATCTATTAATCAAATATTATTTTACAATTAAATATTGAACATAGAAAACCTACTTGGCTTCAGCACACAGTTTTTCATTCAACAATTCTTCTTGTTTATTTTCAATTTCCAATAATTGTTGGTGTAGCTGATTTTTGGCATCGGACATCCGTTTCTTTTCTTTTGATAACTGGGAAGCCATTTTTTCCCTATTCTTCATATCTTGGAGAATCTTTTCTTTGTCTTTTTCTAATTCCTGTTAAAATTTGTGAGCCAGTGTTAAGTTTGGCACCAATTCTACCAACATAGATTTATAATATAATTAGATCCTGTGTTGGATGCTAGATTAGAAACGCCTGAAGCAAGAGCCGGAGGGGGCAATTAGTAAGACACTGAACTGCTAACCTAGAGATCTTGGGTTGGCTCCCACAACAACTTTTGGTCTTCGAAGGAATTATTAGTGAGCAGAAATTCGCCAATGTATTTGTTATCACCCGTCACTTCAGTCAGTTATATAGAGGGATAACTCAGGTTTTCCTTTTGCGTTCGTCACTTCCGATTGTTCAAGCATTGATTACGCATCTATCGCAGCAATGATCTCTGTGATAAAATAATATTTGGAAGGTGTTTAACCAGTTCTATCACATATGTGATAATGACTGGCACCAATATTGTCCTTTAATATAAAGAAACATAGAAATGGCCCATGAAGAAAGAAATTTTACAATAAAAAAAATTAAGAGTGTTGGATACTGAACTGGCAATGCAATCAAATGGATTTTCTGAAATGGCATTCTTAAATTAATTTCATGGGCGTCAACATCTTGTTTTAGGACTAGTTACCTCCCTTAGACTTTGTTTATGATAATGACCGGATAATCTAGCCAATTACCTATTATTCTCAAATGTTGACAACTCATCCAGACAATCGTAGAATATTTTTCTGGATGATAGAGACTAGGCTCTTGATAAATAAATAGCCACTTGAATCTCATGAAAGATATTTTGTTTAAAATTTCAAAAAATAATACTTTGGAACTGATAGTTTTTGAACAGCACAACCGCGTACTTTTGATTTTTAAATAAATCTTACTGCCAAAGAAATAAGAAGGCAAAATCAAATTGGTGTGGCCTAACTCATAGAAGGAATATCATAATATAAATATAGCATAATGCACAATAATTTGTGGGAACAGAGTACAGACAGTCTATAGTATAACTAGACACATATTTGAAGTAAATGCTTTAAACAGTTATTGTTTGTAATGGCTATAAGATAATACACTATTGTGAAATGTCTAATTTAAAACAAGGAAAATGTATGACATTGTATCATTTATGTGATGTCTCATTCATAGTTAAAAATAAAACATAGAAATAACTTCCTTGTTTGTTAGTTACTATAAGTACAATAGAAAAATAACATAACAAGGTTGTACACACAGTAATTACACGCCTTATTCAAGTAGGTAAATCTTTCACCTTTGTCAAGTAACAATATAAATCTTCAAAAAAATTCTTAATTTCCTACTAGAATCTTGAATTCAAAGATAAAGACTTTTAACTTTTAACACATATTTGCCCACAGGGTCAACCCGGTTGTTGTTTGTAGTGATGAACAACTGCTTCCACCAAAGGTGATATCACAGACAAATTATCTAATTTTAGTATATTTAGTGCAAGGAGGAAACCAAAGTACACAGAGCTATCCCACGAGGTTGAGAAAGCAAACCTATCTCAAAGCCACATAACACTCACACCAGGGACTGAAACCACAATCCCAAAGCCAGTGGTGATCGGCCAGCTAGAGCGTAAAGTGTGACACTAGGCTATCCCAACCCCCGGGCAAACCAGGATCATAAGTCAACATCCTCTTACAATAATTCTAAACAGAAATAGGTAATTTGTTCTTATTGACCAATTTTTAGTAAATATTACACTGCCTTTTGATACACCTAGCAGTAATTTGATTTTAAGAGATCTAAATCAAACGGGTTATATAATATTTTTTACAAATTACGAATCTGCCAACGAAGACAAATGAAATGTGGTTTAATACCCTATTTCTCCTGCACCAACTGGTGCTAATGAAGACGGACATACGCTATACAGTGTGCTATGAGGGAAGTTTTGCCTGGAAAGCAGCACTATGGACTAATCTTATTTCAAACTCCAACTGTCATGGGTTCTTTTACGTCCACGTCTATGTGTACACAAGGGCTGCAACGATATACCGTAAGAGGGTATACCATGGTTCGGTTCAGGCTACTTTAAATTCTGTACCTCGGTTCGGTAAACACAGTACAGATTTTTTTAACAGTTCGTTTTTTGATGTCCCCTTGTAGTTCACGTGAAAAGGAGGAAAGATGGCTTCCGGTATTGAAACAGGTGTCCTGCCGAAATTACATTTGCTTTCAGTGAACCACAAATCACGGATATGTGAACATTTTAGATTAAAAATACCAGATGGAAAAAAGATAATTTAAATATCATGTACCGGTACGTGTTTTTATTTTTTATGTCAATTTGGAAACAAAAAATACCTCCATACGTATCATATAGTGAACTCCATACCATGATACGTATCCTATCATGAGGTTAGCATATCGTTGCAGTCCTAGTACAGGGGACCTCGGTTTTCCGTACCATCCGAATGACTAAACACTGTCCTTGTCAGGCCCTCAGTCAAATCCTGAGTGATGACACGGCTTCGTTGCTAGTGAGCCAGCATATTACTCACTGAGCTACTGCGGCTCTATCTTGGAAGACAAAGGGAGGAGATTTCTACTATAATTGTCTTAAAATAATTCTAAAGGATTTAATTTAGGAGATTTAAACTAACCTGTAACTGTGACTGTTGTTCAGAAAGTAATGTTGATAATTTTTGTCTGTCTTCATCTAATGATGTCATAATTTGACTTGTATCGTCTAACTCACTGAAATGATAGAAATTGATTACTTTTTATTTTCTTATCAAATTCAACGGCAACAACCCTGCAAGTCCATGTGACTTTATACAATATTTGAATAACCATAAAACATATCACTGTCCTTATAAGCAAGTGAATAATTGAAATAAAATTGAACCATATGTTAGTCCCAAAATGACATAGATTGTATTAAGTGAGTGTTAAACCCTGTCTCTCTCTCTCTGCCGCCTATAGATGTCCGAGAACAAATTTAAAGTTTCATAATTTATCGAGGAATGTCGTCTGATGTCCACATTACTAATGTAGATTGTGGATTCATAAATATTGACACTTTTGCTTCTACTGAAATATAGAGGATACCTAAATCAAAGTGGCAAATGATTTTTATAACTTTTTTACTGTCACAAATAACAGCTTTAATAGACACTACAGAATTTTAATCAACTTACTCTTTTAATTTAGCATACTCTTCTCTGATCTCTTCTGTAAATTTTTCTAATTTTTCTTTTTCTTTCTCTAGTTCAGTATTTACCCTAGCTAATTCCTGTAATATACAAACATATCAATTAAATCAAGACAAAAATAATCCTTTTGTTCTATGAATAAAATAATCAGAAATAAGCTTAAAATGGCTACACTTGTTTGATTTGGTTTTAAAAAAATTGTAAATCCATCTTTATTGAAAAAGTTACAGCTACGCTACAGATAAATCCAGGGTTAAGATACAAGTAATTTTGTGTTCCACTGTCAACACAGTGTGCCATAGATAAATCTAAAATTAACTTTAAAAAAAGCTGACTACTGCCTAGTCTTTCAAAACCAAAACTTAATCGTATTGATCCATCAGATCACCCTAATTCAATAATTTATTTTTACCGTAATCAACAAAATTCAGTTCAATAAAAACTTATTTTATCTCTCAATCATTCCTGATTTTCCTTCTGTCTATAGTATAAATTCATTGCATTCATTTAGACACAGCAGAATAAAGATGGTCTTGTAAAAAGAAATATACATGCCTCTAAAGTCTAAAGTTAATTACAAAGATAGGTTGCCAGGCAATGAAACATACACCCACAGCAGGTAAATTGTCCGAGCAGTCGACAAGGGGGCATTTACAAGACAATAACTCTAGAAGTAATTAACAGAAATTGCTGAAATTCAATAGGCTTCTTTGTTTCACGAATTCAAATTATGCATATAAATTTCATACAGATCAGCTGATAACTTTTGTCATTAGAGCATTCACAAGAGCATCAAAGTGAAACAAGGGTCATAACTCCAGAAGAAATTAACAGAAATTATTGAAATCAAATAGGATTCTTCATCTCACTAATGTAAACAACATATATGTTGGCGTATAAAAACAGTGATGTACCGGTAATGTGAAAATATGAAAGAAAAAGCTGCATAACCAAGGCATGTGCAAAACCATGAAACAGTCTATTGATGTTCATTTATTGTTTGTGTATGAACTGTGCTACAGTGTATGGTCGTTCAGTTGTTATCTATGTGTATGAACCATGCATCAGTCCACTGATGTTTACTTGTTAAGATATGAACCGTGCAACAGTCTACTGGTGTTTACTTGTGTTAACTATAATATATTTTTTTATCAATCTGCTTCTAAAATTGATACCATATGAAACAATGCTTAAAATAAGTATGACTTTTAAAGGACATGTGATCTCATGAAAAATTGAAAGCATTATTTTGATTTGAAACACAGTTCAACACAAAGAGGTTGCGCACATGGCCATATTCATTACCCATACAATAATCTGAAATACTTACCTCTGTTCGAATTTTTTCTTCAGACAAAGCATTTACTTCTGATACTAATCTATCTGTTATTTAGGGGAAAAAAGTGAAAATAAATCAAATTTCGATGAGCTTATACATAAATTTTTTTAATTGATTTTATCTACTTTGATTAATGGATTGCCAAACATGAGTTTACTTCTACATTTAGAAGCATTCCATGTGCATGCCAAACCAATGATTTCAAATGAAAACAGATAGCATTGACAATGAAAAATCTTCAAGAAACTATCATTTGCCAGTAAAAAGTTTTTTTTCTCAGAATTCCAGGCATTCAGTTTGAATTTTGGTAAATTTTACTTAAGAGAAAATAACTAAAAAAAGGGTAACAAATGTCTGGCTGTCAATATGCTAATCCAATTCTGGAAATAATCCAGCAGAAATGAAAACAGGACATTGACAGATCAAATCAGTCAAAATACATTTTGATCCATAGATTTTATACCATGATCCATAGATTTTACTAAATAATAGAATATAATGGTTATAAGTAACCAAAATAGGAAGAATTCCTTACCAAAATAATTTTGTTTTTCCCTAGCCATCTCTAATCCCTGAGATTCAAGTCTTTTAATCATTTCATCAGCTAAACATGTGTTTTTCCATGTTCTAAAATAAAAATTTAAAAATTTTCTATAAATTTGACGACAAGCAGAGAGAAGAAGAGAAACAAGATTCAACATGCACTTAACACAAATTATGGATGAAATCTTATTTCAATAACTGGCTTGCACGCTGAGTCTTAAGCAGTGAGAGGAAACTGTTGAAAACCCACAAGGTTAGACAGGCGAACCTACTCCTTGTCAAATACAAGCCTGGGATTGAAACCACACTACTCGAATCAATGACAGACCTTATGATCTTAAACGCACACATAGGTCTATAAGAACACCCAGACCTAAACATTTCATGGTTTATAATATTTGCTATGGCTCCATGTACAAGGTGAAATATGGCCAGTATATGAACTAAATTTGAAGTACCAAGTCATGTGTACTGCCAACGTAAACATAGGACCACAGATTTTTGTAGCTTAAAATATAGTTAAGTCTTAACCAGTCTGTAGTCCTAACAGTGGAATCTCCCTCTAAAACCATTGGTCAAAACAGGTACAAAAATATTATTGATTTAAAATATTTTTGATCTGTCTGATTCCACACTTGCTAAATACTTACACTCTGCGACAGTTGACCATTGTTTCCATCCATTGCTTCCTTTCATAATCACTTTCACCTGCTAAAATTAGTCTACCCTGTAAATAACAAAATTATTTCACATTATTTCAAACTAACAGTAACAATATTCACGGTTTTACGTGTAAATATGGGAATTTATGATTTATCATGTTTGGGATTTTCTTTTTAGTTATGTTCAGATTAACAATCTACAGGAACAAACAATTTGATAAGGAAAGGGGGTTGTAGCTGCAATCAAACTTACTGGGTAGTTAATTTAATACCAGTTTTGCAAACTAATCAAGCTTGTCCAATACTGGAGGGTTTCAAACCATTCTTTATATCAAATTTTAAAATTTTGCATTTTCTCTAATGCTTTGACCTTTAAGATTTAAATTTTGAACTTTTAAAGATATATATACTATTCAAAAAAAGTAGGGGATATTTGATTTTTAAGTGTTATTAAAGTCACCTAATGAAACTGACGAAAAAACAAATGACAAAATGAAATGAAGTTCACATTCATCGATTTATTCCAAATGATCGTTAGACTAAGTAAGGCACAGACTGACCATTATAAGGTGAAGATACCCGGGGTCAAACAGCAAAGTTACCGCAGCATCACAACCAAGTCAGTAACGGGTAAATCCTCCTCTGTTTGCCAAACAAGCATTGATCCGACGTGGCATACTCCTAATGTGACGTCTTAGGTCATTTTGGTCCAGATTGTCCCATTCCTGTTGCAACGCAGCAGCAAGTTCTTGGACATTGGCAGGACGTTGTTGACGTTGACGTTACCTCTGTCCAAGCATGTCCCAGACATGCTCGATGGGGGAGAGGTCGGGACTCAGTGCTGGCCAAGGTAATGTGGTGATGTTCTGTTGTTGGAGGTAACCTGTAACGATCCTGGCCCTGTGACATCTTGCGTTGTCATCCTGGAAGATGAAACGGCGGCCATGACGTCGTGCGAACGGCACAACATGGACTGCCAAGATGTTGTCCCGGTAGTACTGGCCTGTAACACGCCCTGCAACAACATGTAAAGCCGTTCTTCCAGCAACAGTGATGCCTCCCCACACCATAACAGAACCACCCCCAAATCGATCATGTCTGATGACGTTAACGTCTTGGAAGCGCTCGTTTCGACGACGCCACACCCTCCTACGTCTGTCCAAAAAATCAACAGTGAACCTTGACTCATCTGAAAACATCACATTGCTCCAGCGTCGATTATCCCAGTGTTGACGATCCCTACACCAACGACGTCTTGCCTGAATGTGATGATCTCTCAAACAAGGGATCACGCGAGGACGTCGGGCGCGAAGGTGACCCCTATGCAGTCGATTCCGAATCGTGTGGCCACTCACTCTCACACCAGTGTCTGTTTGAAGACGAGCGCTGATCTGATTTGCTGTGATGACACGATTTCTCAAGGCCAAGGTACGGATAAATCGATCCTGGGCTTGAGTTGTCGCCCTTGGTCGACCTGAGCGTGGTCTGTCCTGTACAGATTGTGTATCACGGTATCTGGACCATAGCCTGCTTATGACAGACTGAGAAACATTCATCGTCCGCGCCACAACCGCCTGTGTTGTGCCGATCTGTAGCATGCCAAGGGCACGTAACCTTTCATTTTGGGTAAGCCGACGCATATCAAAATTTGTTTTCTGGTCACTAAAACAATTAAACTGATGTTTCCATCCTGGAATTCAATGCCACAATGACTGTAACATTCAAAGTCAGAGTCGTGCAAATCTTGGGTTGGACCCCCATGATGATCCCAAGCATCACCTGCATTCCATGCGGTAGCTATTGGTGCGTTTGGGCGTCACATGTAACTGGAAATGTTTCTTCTGTTAGGTTCTATAGTGACTTTTTTCGTAGTCATTTGCATATTTTAGTATTATGCCCCCAAAATCAAATATCCCCTACTTTTTTTGAATAGTATATATCAACTACATGTAATATAAAAAGAACATTTAAGTAAATTATATCCTTGATTGATTGTAAAGAGGAAGTGAAGCATTCTAAAATTGGAATTTGAACTGATCTATACTCTACTATCTCAAGTGATATCCTATCCCTTGTTTATTATCTCAAATTTCACTTCAAAAATGTATAAATAGTAGATGGCGAAATATCACAGCTTCCATGACGTTCTGAATGTATTTTCTTTATATATAATATACTCTTCAAAAAAAGTAGGGGATATTGAAATGCAAATACCTATGCAGGTTGTGAATGATAAATAGTCATGGACACTTTACAGATGAAGAACTTATCGCCCCAACAGAACACGTGGGAGGGGGTCATTGTCAAATTTGACACTTCAAGGAGGGGTTGATGAAAACTGCAGCGTGCTTGTTTATCTATCCATGTTAGCATTCCTATCGGTTCTTGCATAAGATTTACTGTTTAGCTATCTTTGCTTTAGTGTGTTACGTTTATTTTCATCGGGAGACGTGTTCGTCTACGTCAAAGTCTACCGACAACACTAAAAGAAATGGGGCCGTCAGATAAGCCGCCCATATGAACTGTTTATGTTCATGTGTAGGCAATTGGCCTGTTATTAACATACACTGGATACCTCTAATAAAAACAGCAGAGCATTTCCGCAGTTTTGTATTGTTTCTGAATATCCCCTACTTTTTTTTGAAGAATATAGAATGCTAAGTAAAAATATGATTTTCGGAAGATGGGGGGGGGGATGGAAAGGGGATTTATGGACCTTCAAAATTATTGATATTAGAAAAAAAACCCAATCATATATTATTTTATTGTAGGACAAGGAATTAGTTCATCTTGAAATTAAAGGGTGTAGACATAAATGCTTATTGAAATCAATGTGACACATGTACACATGTTTACCTATAACTAAATGATGGCTGGGCGGCATTAATACATGTAGTTATGGTTATGCTATCAATGACTTAGATTTGATAAACACCTAATTAATCATGTTGATTACCTTATTGTTTTGATGAGTGTTAACTTCATGCTGATTTATGGGGCAACAACAAGAATTTTGACATATAATAGAACAGAAATATTTATGGAAATTAATGTGATTGGTAATAATAGGCCACATTTAAGGCATTAATTTCTTGTCCTCAGAAAATATATCTGGTTTTATTTGGGGTAATCATTAAACAAATCTCCATATTCAAAGTAAATAAAATGATGTTCACAGTTCAACAAAAAAAACTGTGTGTCAAAAAGGTTAAGTTTTAGGCCATTACTTGAAACATTTAACGTTCAATATTTGAAGAAGGAACAATGAAATGCTGCTCTAAATTTTAAACAACTGCACCTTCTAAGTACTCAGCGGTTAATCGAACATTTTACAATGTAAATAAAACTTGTTACGCCTTATAGTGCAAAGAAAAGGCAGATAAGCTGAACTTGGGGTTGCTATAAATAAAACAGATACCAACTAATGAATAGGATACAGACAAGTTATGTTTACTTGAAATACAAAACTCCACCAAACTCTATTTATTTTAACCTCTTTATACATGTGGTTCACACTTTTTACAACACTGACTGTTATTCCACTTACGTTTTTTAAATGTTTTTTTTTTGTTTTTTTTAACAAAACGATAGTATATGAATGTATATAGATTGTACACATTTAATACCATAACTGATTTTCATTTTGTGCATTTGTAGGATTTTGTATGAATTTTTATCTAAATATTAGTAATAGAGAGAGAGAGACAGAAATGGGGTTTAAACTAGGTACCTGGTAATTTCAGGACAAGCACATGGTTGATTTTTATTTCAATAATTTGCTTGTGCTAAAGGGTCTTTAGCAGTGTGAGGACCCAGAGGAAACCCATGAGGCAGGAAGTCAAACATAATGGGAATGGAAACCACGAATTTTACTAGATGACAAACCTTATGAGCTCATCAAAAGCATACGTTAGACCATCCAACACCCTGTTATCAATAACATTCGAATTATCATCTAATACTGTCTGATACATGTAGGTGTATAGGACTAATTGAGTATGGGGAGAGAGCAAGTTTGGACCCCGGTTTCACAAAGACTTAAATTAAGAATTTACTCAACTTTCAATCACTGTTTTAATATCTTTGATCCAGAAACACAAAACTTTGCACATAGTTTCTTTTTGATGTATTTGATACATTAAAATAACAAACGTTTTATAAAGGGCTATATTTTAGATATTTTAGATAACTTAAGGCAAACAATTTTGAGTAAATTCTTAACTTAAATCTGAGAATACTTTGTGAACTCGGGTTAAGGTGTCTGAACTTCTCTATAACAAAAAATAACTTTTACGTTTTTTATTGTAAATTTTGATGATATTATAGTGGGATTCTCGGTACTACAGAATAATATGCATGTATGCCACTGGTAATACTACCAGTATTTTAATCTCAAACCTTTTTAATCAAACAAAGTGTCAAGCATTGACCAGAAAAACAAATTTTGAGAATGTTTATCAACCTAAATGTTCGTTGGTGAGTCATATTTAATTAGAGTGCATGGCTTTTTCAGCTTCAGATGTCAAAAGGTTTTTTTCTTTTTATTAAGGTATTTCAGATCTAAATGTAACAAAAAAATGTTACAATAAACATGGATATAGAATACATTAACACCGGAATGTCGGACTGTACTAATCCTTAAACATTGATAGCCCAAACACATGGCTATACATATTAAACTAAGTAGGCCTTCTGGCCAACTTCTGGCTAGTTAAGTAGGTATGTACATGTAATTCACTTGATTGACTGTAGATGATGGGTTTCCAAATGACAAGAAATAAAAAAAAGAACTTTGAAGAAATCTGATATTGTAGGAATATATCCAATAATAGATTAGAAGAGAAGTATTGCCAAATGTTCATTTTATGATGCAATAAAAGTTATTATGTTGGTAGTTACAATTATTATTGGACTATTAATATTGGCACAGTATCATAAACGAACATAATAAAGACTTTAAAATATTGGCTCAAAAACAAGCACTGTTTCAAAAGTTAACTTATATCATTCTTTATTTCTACATTGACTAAAGGAAGTTAAAAATAAAATGAAATTTCCACAAATTGTTTAATAAAATTTGTGAATGCTAACTATTTGCTACATGCTGATATAATAATTTAAACCACGTACTAAAATTAATAATATAGACATTGAAGTCAATCTACTAAATAACAAAAATGGTAAAGTACCCATGAAAAAAAATATAGTTCACTGTTGGATATTTAATTCCTCTAGCTACTTAATGAAAAGGTGAACATTTTTTCTGGTTTTGTTTTTTATAACATAAGTTTTAATAAACAAACTACATGTACCTACTATTGAAATTTTCGAACACAAAGATCCGCCCATAATTTACCCGAGGTGGGAACTTGAGTCGAGTGATTCCTACTCGAGGCCTATGAGATTACTTGCGACTCAACTTGACATATTTAATGCGACTCGAGGCTCGACTCGGAAGTCGTGACGACTCGCAACTTGAAAGCTTAGGATTTGAGTCGCAGCTAGGGAGCATAACTCTAACTTAGGGCCTCCCTTATTCACCACGTATTGCTGACTCATGTAATGAACTGAAGACTTGAACAGGACTCAGGCTTTGTAAAGACTTGGAACTCGGCCCGGAACTAAAGTCAGAGGCTAGGGACTCGACTCAAGACTCAAGGTCCCGCAAATTTTTCCCACCTCTGTCCTTTACTAAATCATTATACCTCTTCCATATGACATAAGCTATGTATATAAGAAAACCAACTACCTGTACCAACAACTGACAAATAGCAATCCATTTTTATGAAAAGTTAATATTCAATCTTTAATGCGAAAGGGGTCTATTTGTGTGTGTTTAGGAGAAAGAAATGGACTTTAACATTCACATATTAATAACTACAGTTAGGTCATTTCAGGACTAATTGACATTATATTCTTATTTCAATACCATGTGCATGGATATTTAGAAGTGGGAGGGAACCCATGAGGTTAGGCAGGTGATCCTAATCCATGTCTTTTGGATCTACCATGTTAGACCAATCAACCACTCAATCCCCTTGTCTATGCATGCGAACAGTGGCACACAATTTGCAGAATTTAGGTTGTTTACGTAAGGGCAGTACCTGACAAAAACTAAATAACTTTTGTTATTATGACTGTCAATCAATACCTGTGACATACACTCACGCCTCTGAAATGTACATTTAAAGTGGGAGTATCCCTTATGTAATGTTTACACTGTGTTTATAATATAAACTTTATACATGTATGCTATGGAAAAGAGTAGGGCCTACTTAATGAACATTGGCTAACTATTCAAAGGGACAATATTCTAAAACATCTTCCCATACAAATCACACCTTCTGTGGCTAGACAATTTATCTAATATACCCTCAATCACCATCTTAGGGGGTACATATTTCACAATTAATGTGCTATACTAGAGTATATCATTTTATGAAGACTTCCTAACTAACTAGTGTGTATTACTAGTGAGTTTTAACTGCTATGGTGGGGACGTTTAAAGCCAAAACTGCAAACTAAATTCACAGAGCATCATTGGTTTGTTTGAAATATATTCTATTGACATAGAGTATAAAAGGATTGCATACATACACAACTTCTCATAGACTAGTTAGATGGATGTTTCAGAAATGAAATGAAATGAAATGGAGTTTAACGTCCTACTTTTCGGATGTTTCGGAATATTGAGTTAAAATGTATATAATGTCCATGGGTTGAGATTGGCTTGTTCTGATGTAGGCCTATTATTAAAATAAACATAGTGTATATTTTGCCGTCCGACGGTTCCTTACTTTATTTACTTTCCGTTCGACATGCGCAGTTGTCCGATTCTCGCGAGATCTCACACCCTTATCGCGTGATTAAATATGGCGACCAAAGAAGATGTTGACGGCTAGTGCGTTTACTAAAATGATGTTTCGGGCGTAATTGGAAGCGAATTTGACTCTTTTCGAGCAGGGTTAGGGTAAAATAAAATTTGTCGTGAGACGGTAAAATAAAATTTGTCGTAAGACGGTAAAATAGTTGAAATGACCGACGGCAATTAATGTCAGACGGTAAAATAGGCCACAAGTTGAAATAGCCGGCATCACTGCCAAAGCGAAAACCGCTAAGTCCAGGAATCAGACAACTGCGCATGTCAAACGGAAGTGACGGCTAAATAGTAAATAAAGTAAAGAACCGTCGGACGGCTGAATATCCACTGCGTAAACTAAAATAAAAACAAGTGAAAATTTACTGCAGGTACAAATTTTTAGCATGTGGAGAGAGCCTGTCATACACGTTTCACTTTCTGAAAAATATCAAAAGCTAATATTTTTCTTTCTGATCAACAGAAAATGTCAATGAAGAATAAAAATTTCATTGCTGTTTTAACTTCCTCCTTGTTGATATGGTACATAGATAACTGCACAAGTATGTCCCGGTATATCATGTCCAATTTTATCTTACTTCTCAAGTGTGTTTGGCTAGGGTTTTGAATCAATTCTTTTATTTATATTGAGCTTCTTTTTTGAATCTTTTCAAATTAACAGAGTACTGCACACTCTTTCTGAGCTCTGCTATTGTTTAAAATTGAGCAAAATGTAGAGCTTAACATATTTACAAAACCATTGGGAAAAATATTTTGGCAAAAGTCCACTCCAGTGTCTATTCTCTAAATTCATTTTAAGCCACGGCTGAATTGTTGAAGAAATATTGACCTCTTGAGATTTACTACACTTGTTGTAAGAAGTAAATTCTGTCTAGCTTTTCTTGAACACAATAATTACCCATGTTTGGAGACATATTGATTAATACTGATGGACCAGAGTTGCATAATGTCAGACGTCGATCTAAATGGGTGTTTAGTGGGTTAATACCCTCTCTAATTTAACTTTGTCATCTGAATGCAAAGGTGGAGCAAATAAATTAGACAAAAAACTTCAGCTCTGTCTTTGAGAAGGCTTTTCTTAACAGCTTGCCTTAAAAACTGCGGCTCTACCTAGATTTGGGCCAGGTAGTAAGTTCTATGTGCCCATGCATTAATAACTCTAAGCTTTAACCATTTTTGAACTACCAGTAGTTTAAATAGAAACATCTGATTAGAGACACCATTTACCAGATAATGACATCACTGTTATGTCATCAATGCTATTATTAATAAGGCCAAACCAATTTGGTCCTCTGTTTTTCATAAATAAATAGCCAAATAATCAGGTGAAAGATGTTTTGTTTCAAAATTTCAGAACTTAAAGGAGCTAAGTCGCTAATATTTGGGACCTAGAAATTGACACAAATGCGTCACAACGCATATAATAATGTAATATGAATGTATATAAACTGATTTACATTCAATCATTTCTGTTTTTACTGTAATTTCTAATCAGATAAGTTCGGCGAAATACGCCAGAAGTCTCATGTGAATGGCAATCTTTAGCGTCTGGTTTTTCCAGTCTACACCAAAATTATTTATTGCGCATGCTCTCCAGATAAGAATATAGCGTCATCGTTTGACATGACTTATTGAATATGTCTAGCCTCGTTACAAATGACGCTAAAACGCATTATGGTACACGATTTGTGTACCAATGGTAAAATGTTTATTTTGTCTTAAATATTGGATATCAGAAACCCACCTTTTCCCGGTAAGATCACAACATCAATGTTGATTTAAATAGACAAATACTTTGTGTCTTCAATGTCGAAGAATTTGGATGATATTGAGTTAGAGACTTATAACTTATAGCTACTTTAAATTAGCAAAAAACGAAAAATCAAATTGTGTGGCCTAAATCTTTTATCTAATTATCACATTTGATTATCAAGGGGTGTTACATGTACTTTCATGTTTGACTGTAGAACTCATTTATACATAGGATAACTACTTTATTTTAAATCAGAGAATTAAATTTAATTTACCACATTAACTTCTTGCTCATGATTTTATAGTAGCATGGTTGGTAGATGCTCAAGAAAATTACAAGGGGAACCCGAAAGGACAGTGTACTTTTAACAGATTTAATTACTACCTCTATTTTTTAATAAAAACGTATAGTCGATCCACATTCTTTACTCTTATTATTCTTCTAACAAATCTAGTGCAAACTGCTGTATATCCTAAATATTTACATTCATATGGAGGTGGGGGAGGGGAATGTTACATTATGGCAAGTTCACTTGGCCAGCAGACTAGGATTCACATTGATAGTAGGATTTAGTCAGCATAAACACTCTTTTGTAATGCTTTCTTTCTCCTTTTCTTTTAAGACATGTAATATAATGTTGTTGGATATGAGAACAGTCTAGGTCATGTGTAAACTTCATAACATATTTTTTTATTTTACATATCTCTTTATGCCTGCATTGGTGTTTAGACATGAAATATCTTGTTGAGATGTCCCTTTAAAATGTTATTACTGGTCTTCACAATAAACCTGCTACCACACAGTTATTAATGAAGATTAATGGGATATAATTAATTAAGAAACTGGTCAAGTGAGTACCAGCACTAACAATAATCATGTAATAGCAATCAAATTAACAACTAGCCTATCCTATATATATATACTTACACGAATTTCTGGACTCTCTACTTGAAAAGCAAATGGATGACCTGGTTCTCGTATGGCTTTAAATTCACATTCTGCTAATGGTATAATTCCCTGGATGAACATTAAAAATAAAATATCTTAAAATGAAATAGAGAGGTTGATGTTTTTTCGAATCAATTACCACTATTCCTATAAATTTCTCTTTTCTCAAGAATTTATGAAATTTAAAGAACTGGGATATGGACTATTTAAGATGCATTATGTAAAGCTAAATCAGGTCTTTTTCTAGCTTGAAATGTTACATAAATTATTATTTAGACATTTATTCACATGACAAGCCAAAAATCATTTCTCTAGATCATCGGATGGCTAAGTTTCTTTTTTTAAAACAATATTTTTATTCAGGATGCTTGAATGGGGAACACTGAATAGACTTAGCCTACAGTGTATGTAAAACCCCTCTCCCTAACATACTGAATGGATTAGAACACCTTCGCCAAATAACGTTAAAATTGGTAATCAAGACTTTGTTTATATCGTAGCAATGGTATTTGACAATCAAGACAATCTTCTCAAAAACACTCTTAACTTCGCTCAGAATAAAGTATTTCGACTGAAACTTTCAATAAATTAATTTCTCATTATCTAATTTTTAACTATTATGAAAGTATTACAGCAACCAAGTCAGCTCTTAACTTTTATCGAAGTCTTACATTATGCATCTTCAATAAAAATTTTTTATACAAACCAGAAATGGCATTTTATTGAATTAAGACTCGATTACAGTCACAACCAGCTAGATTGTTCATGTACTATTTTAACATAAAGATTGTTAATTTGTTATGTCATTAATCACGTAATCAAGTATAAAATACTTCATAAATAATGAGCTGGCTTGTATGAAACAGATAGCAGAATTATTATTACTTCAAATATGTTAAATAAGATGGCATTGTCAAATCAAGAGAATTCAATATACCTGTCTAATAAGATGGCCGAGTGTAATCAATAGAAAGCAATGTAAATTTTCAATAAATATTTGAATAATTTCTAGACTAAAACTAAAATACTTTTTGTGAAAACTATTTTCAGGAAAAAGATCCTTTGTTTTTTAGATTAGCTATCTGTAAGAACAATTCTTAATACCTACATATTTATGAAATATTAAAAAATAAATTTTGGAATTAGAATGTTTGATTAGGTAATGTTGTAAAATATAAAACTAAAATTTCAATAAATAATGTTTAAAATAACCAATGTTTTACAAAACAATATTTTACAGTCCAATCTGGTTAAAACACAGATCCTATTTCGTTTCGTTTTTATAGTACAAAATTTTGTTTTACTTGTCTCTACTACACTTGGATCTGGAAGAGTTGTTATTTTACTTGTGTTCTGAATGGTGTCAAGGATAAGCCAATGAAACGGTTTGTTACGGCGAGCTTTAGGCGTGTTTTGCACAGAAATGTGGGTAATTCACTAGTAACATCAATGCTGATTGGTTAATTAAATGTCTGACGTCATAGGGTCATAAGTCGGTCTTTTGACCCCTGACATGACCTATCGCTATAACTTGTCAGATCTTCATGTAGTGTAAGCCATCAAAAGTATAAAAAAACGAAACGAAATATAGATTTGTATTTTAATCAGATTGTACAGTCCTATATCATTGTGTAAGTTTATGGTCTAACCTAACGTTAGTTAACATTTATTCTTGAATTCTTATAGGCTACTACTATAATTCATTTATGGCGTACAAAATAAATATTTACTGTAAAGCCACTGATCTCCATTTGCATTTGTTGGACAATATCTCATTTTTAACAGATTAATCCAAGCTAAAATGTACTTACATTCAATTAAACAAGCGATTGTCATGCAAGATACGCCCACATTTTCAGGGTTCCCGCGGCTTCGTCAAACAAGGATATTCAAGGATAAATATACGTCAAATACAAGGATTTTCAAGGACATTTTTTAGCCTAAAGTTACAATTTTTCATCTTAAAAATAACCAAAACATTACCAACTATCGTTATAATCTCATATTTAAAAGGAATTGAAGACATTTGAAACAAAATTAAGGATCTCAACTGAAATTCAAGGATATTTTCCTATTTCCGCAAAATTCAAGGATATTCAAGACCTTGAAAATTAAATTTTAAATTTAAGGATATTCAAGGATTTTCAAGGACCGCAGGAACCCTGATTTTGCAAGAGATGGACAGCGAACATGCTAAAAAAGCATACAATAAGGGGCTATAATCCAGGATGATACAGTCCGACACGCATCAATATCAAAAGGAACCGAAATCTTTGGGATATAAACATACATATTTTAACTTTCATCAAAATCGGATAAATGTATGACCTCTAGAGTTTCCACAAGCTAATGACATGATTTTTTGTACAGTCAGGGGCCATAATCCATGAAGTTATGCCAATATTGAAAGGAACCAAGATCTTTGGGATATAAACCTATATTTCAAGATTCGTCAAAATCAGATAAAAATCGTGAACTATAGAGTATCCACAAACAAAATGTAAATGGACAGAAAGGGGGCAGTCAAAATACGTCCATATGAAAATGTGGTGTATAAATATGAAAGTCAAAATATCAATGGTTGGTATACTGATAAATTTGTAAACTGGATTGAAAAGAGCCTCATCAAATGATTTTACCCAACAATTATTGGTGAAACTGCATTTTAATATTGTCTTAAGAAAAAGATGAATGTTGTAAAATTTTAAATTATTCATGTCTTTGAAAATATTGACCAAAACTGAATCATTTTTGTTAGGTCACCAGATTGAACATTCACAGTTGTAGTTTGCAAGGGATTTAAAATCCATCAAAAAAACGATCAGCAGCTTTAGTTTAATCCCACTTTGACATAACACCACAACAATTGTTTTAAATCAACTTTGTTTAGTTTAACACAAATCTACAGATTAAATATGAATAAAGTAAGATTGGCTAGGGTATGTTTACATCTACATGACTTACTGTCATAATATGACATGTATCGACATATCTCATTTCAAATGTACATGTTCAACATAGTCGTACACAATTTCTTATGGAGTAATACAAACAATTGGCATGCGCATGTACTTAACAACCTCCTAAGATCTATAAATTCCATTTGATTATTCTTTTTAAATCTACAAATGGGGGCATTTGGAAATAAATTGAAAAACAAAGGGAAATAATTGTTATTAGCCCTACCTTTGGATGAACATTAAAATGCACGCGTTTATCGAACTCTTTCTTTTCATTTTCAGGATAATATATCAGGAATCCATCTTTGACCATGAAAAATCTGCAAAGCAAAGTAAAGCATAGAGGTATTAATACTTTATATAATTTGTGAACCCTCTTGTTTAAAAATCATTTTTATGCCAAGTACATGAGCAGCAGTATCTGAGATTTGGTATAACCAATTGGAAGTAATTATCAGTTACCACAAACTATCCTATGTTATGCCTGCTTTGATAATATATGATTTAAAAAAAAACATAATTATGTGATGCATATTAACAGATTAGATCAGGGATGTTGTTTCAAAATTTTGCTCGTTGGGACATTTTTAGTTGGGGTTCATAGAGGACGGAATTAGGTCACCAGAAGTCGTTTGTTAGCTTCAAGAAATAGGGCCAATAAACTTCCATTCCCTTTAATACACTTCAACTACTTTATAAAGTTTTATTGTAACATATGGTGTTCTTAATAATTTTTATGATTACCGGTAGTACAAAGAAATAGGTGCACCTCGCTATTTTTCATATTCAATTACAGTACAGAATTTAAATTCATGTCAGTGACATTCCTAAAACAGCGGTTGCCAGGCAAGATACACTCACATTTTGCAAGAGATAGATAGAGAACAACCTATTTAAAAAAAGCGATTTTTCGTACTATCAGGGCCCATAATCCAGAAAGTTATGGTCTGAAATGCGCGAATATCAAAAGGAATCGAAATCTGTGGGATATAAAGATATACATGTATTTCAAATCGGATAAAAATTGTGACTCCTAGAGGGTCCACAACCTTGGTATATTAAATACTTTTACACTATTTGCGTACAAGAAGCAGCCATTTTGTTTGACAGTTTGGGTCAGATTTTTACGAAATTGGAACTCAACCTTTATTGATGTGCAACGGTGATATATTTTTTAAAATTGATAACAAATTGTGACCTCTAGAGTGTCCACAAGCTAAAAACGTGATTTTTCGAACAATCAGAGGCCATAATCCATGAAGTTATGGTCCAATACATGCCAATATCAAAAGGAATCAAGGTTAAGGGGAAATAGACCTATATTTCAAGTTTTGTCAAAATTGGATAAAAATTGTGACCTGTAGAGTGTCCACAAACAAATTGTGGACTGACATCCGGACAGAGGCGGCGGCATATGTCTACATGTGTATTCGTCTGGTGTTTTACATTTACTGTGCTATTTTTCTGCACTAACCAGGCTGATGAAGACATGGACATTCCATGCTGTGTGTACAGCCAGCACCTACTCTTCAACCAATTCCAAATATCATCAAGGGTTCTCTTTACGTGCATATCAACATGTAGTCTACACATGAGATTGACCTCAGGTTTTTGTCCAAACTGAACAACAAGACAGGGTTCGGTATCCAGAGTATTAAGATTGCAACATCTCTGTACAGTGTTAAACACTTTAAAAACCACTAAAAATTTGTGCGATTTGTAAATTGAAAATTAAAATGTCTATTTGGTCAACTATTATAGCCTTTATTAGCATACTAATTTGAACCCCCCAATACTACTGTAGCCTATAGTTAAATCAAGCCAAGTTGAAAATTCTTTTCTCACAAACCTGCAGAACCCTCAAATAGCTTATGCCACTGCCTACCCACATTCTTTGTCAAAATATTTTAATAGAAATCTATTAAAAATGAAAGATAATCAAAATGACTGCTAATTGCCCATCTGGACAAACTTTATAATTTATATTTAATTTGAAAGTTAAAAATATTATATTATCAAAGGAGTTAAAATCCCATTTCTTTGGCACCTAGAAATGTGCACAAATGGGTCGTAATGCATACAATAATGTAAAATGAATGTATTCAATCATTTCTGTTTTACTGTAATTTCTAATTAGTTATTTTCGGAGAATAACGCGAAGACTGGAAATTGAATGGCATTCTTTGGTGTCTGGTTATTCCAGTCTACACTAGTAATATTCTAGTTTGGGATATGTTTAGCCTCGTTTATCAAGTCACTCCATTACAAATGGTGCTCGAAAGCATTCTGGCACGCGATTCGAGTGCCAATTTTAAAAAATTTATTTTGTCTTAAATATTGGATATCAGAAGCCCATCTTTCTAACAACATCAATGTTGATTTAAGTCGTGTTTGATATTGAGTTAGCGACTTGCCTCCTTTAAACAATGAACATATTTAACGAATGTTAAAATACAATTTATTAATTTTAATTCCTGAAATGATCTTGTGTGCCCTTCGATTAAAACTCACATTTTTTTTTCAATTACCCTTTCAATTAATATCATTAGGTTGGCTATTTACTACTACTGATATAAATAAACTAGATGATAACTATCAAGTATCAAACCATAATGGATGTTTTGACACGGTCATGAAATGAAAGATATGTCTAAATTTGACAGATTGATCATCATGGGATTTACATAACATTACACTTGAGATGCAAGTTTACACTACCGTATTTTGGTTTATTAACAATTAAATAATACAATAATTAAATAATCAAAATAATGTTTATGTTTTGAGCTAACAAATATGAACTAAAAGTTTTTATATTAAATAATACTACCTTCGAGACCAGTTGTTCGATTGGTGACCCAGCGGTCTTTTCAACAGTGTGCCATGAATTTGTATCGACGAAGACCAGTCTCCCTGTTGCAACGGTGCTCTATTGATTTCGGGCATTGCGTTCATACTATGTAAACATACATGTTACAATCAACTTATCATAAGTTTAGTTGAACAATCTTCTGTCAAATGCTTTAAAACTTTATGTTGTATACTCCTTCTTCCTCATCCAAATTCTTACTTCCCCAATAAACATTGACCTTTTTCTCAACTTTTTAGTTGACAAAATTACCTCCCTTTGAAGTAAAAGGGCGAGGCTTTCTTGTAGTCTCGATTTCCAGGTCACGTTTCTGAGCAATCAAAATCGCGGGAGTAGAAGCTAATCTGGATACTTTTAAGTTTTATTACCATTCCAAATATATTCAAAATGTGTTATTTTATTAAGCCCTACTTGCCAATTAAAAAATATTTTCAATTCTGTGAAATGTGTAGCATTCCGAGAACAGAATGGTGGATTGAATAAATATATATTATGGGAGGCTAACGAAGAAGCTCCACTCCCATTTATTTATTTATAATTTAAAGGGATAAGACACCAGAAAAATATAAAAATACATTATGATTTTCTCATTCGTCATTAATGATTTATAAAAATGAAATGGGTTTGTGGAATATAGTCATATCGGGAATAGAAGTTGCAATAGCAGAAGCGGATCCTTCACTATCAGTACAATAAAAATGTTTCTCGGGATTAACACTGTTTACAATATTATCCCCATCAATATATTTGTCAATTCTATATAAACTTACAATTGCGTATTCTTCAATTATTTATCCTTATTTAGGGTTCTCGTAATATGTTTACCCAACTAACCAGGACCATCAGAAAACTGGGTAGTCTTTGGGTTGGAGCTATGGATTATAACTAAGACCGATCATTTGGAAATTTAAAATTTAAATTTTAAGAAGATTGTTTCGCGTCACTCGACTTTTATATATAAATATGCAATTAATCCACGGTACTAATTATTTGTCAATATATTTTATTATATTAAAATGTTATACAATCCCAAAAGGCACAATAAATCAACATGTCCTTTATTATATGAAAACATAGAAGTATATATTTGTATTTATATCAAGATTCAAAGAACCAGAGAAATAGTATTTGGCTAGGTCCGCTCGAGGTTCTTTCTTTTCTTATATCCCTTGGCTGGGAATGATTGGTGTTTTAACATATCGGTAAGAAATAAAAACTCAATGGACAATATTGTGCGAACATATGAAACGGAAATAAAAATGTCAAACTGTTTATACGTAACATGCAATAAAATGACACTTTTTTAGTCCACTTTGCAATGTTTTGTTTTTTTTGGGTTTTTTCTCTTAAAAAGCACAAGAAAATGTCCCAAAGATTTTGTCAATTAACTTGTTACTGCTTTGTCGTTATATTATATAAAATGGTATAAATTCTAAAAAGGCCAGGGCCCGCGAGGGTGGCGGGAGACCGCTGAGACACTTGTTCAGGGACCAAGAGCCTAGAGCGCCCCGGAAGTATGCAGAGTAATGTTTGTTTGTATTTTTAAAAAAAAATGTTGGTGTAAATTAATAAAAAAAAATACACTGTTACTTGATTATAAAGTAGAAGAAAACCTGTGACTTTTCTGAATGTGGGTACCTAGTGACATCAGTAAAACTAAAACGTAGTACATGTATTTGGTATGTCATTTGTGTTAAAACATCCAGTTACCCCAGATATACGCCAAAATTATGCTAGGGACCATGTATCTTTCAAAAATCTTATACAGCATATCATCAGCGTGTCTATAAGTAATTTAGTAAAATAAATGTTGAAATACATAGGATTCTTCATTCACTATAAATTTCAATCAAACGGGATGATGGGTTTGTCTCTTTAAAATTCTCAGTGTATATGTACGTCTACGTAATTTATAGACAGTGGTGGCATCATGCAATGTTAATCGTATTAGGTACAGTATGTTTTTATGTAAAATCCCAGTTTCTGTGTTTTGTCATAAAGTGACCTCTGGTTACCCCATATATTCGCCAAAATGGCGATAGAGACCATGTATTTCTAAATAAAATGTCAAGGCCGGGGGAGAAAACCCACCGGATCCCCAAATGATACATTGTCTCAGGAACCTGCAAAACCCCCTCCTGCAAAAATTCCTGGATCCATCTCTGATACATGATTTAAAAAGGCGGTTGTCGTGCAAGATACGCCCACATTTGGAAGAGAACAAGCCATAATCCAGGAAATTACGGTCCGATATGCATGAATATCGAATGGAATCAATATCGTTTGGAATTGGATATAAACATATATTTTAAGTTTCATTAAGATCAGCTAAAATTGTGACCTCTCGAGGGTTCACAACCTTGGTATATACTTTTACACTACTTGCGTACAAGTAGCGCCACTTTGTCAGGCAGTTTCTGTCCGATTTTCACAAAATGAAATGAAATGGTGTTTAACGCCCTACCCAAACAGCGGCACTACGGCCTACTCTTATATTGAATTCCAACTGTCAAGGGATCTTTTATGGGACCTCGGTTTTTCGTCCCATCCAAACAACCAGACAACTGTCCTTGTCAGGCCCTCCGTCCTGCAATACTGACAAGCGGGAACCACCCGTTAAATCTGGATGAACTTTCTCGGCCAATACGGTGATCGAACACCCGACCTCCAGGCTAGCGAGCCAGCGTCTTACCCACTTAGCCACCGTGCCAAATTCAACTTAACGATTATTATGGTGATATATTTAAACTTTTTTTTTTTTTTTTTTTTTAAATCAAATAAAAAAATTTGGCCTATAGAGGTTCCACAAGCTAAAATACACGATTTTTTGTACAATCAGGGGCCATAATCCAGGAAGTTACGGTACTATGTTCATATATAACCAAGATCTGTGCGTTATAAACATACATTTTAAGTTTCATCAAAATTGGATAACCAGCGGTTGTCAGGCAAGATACGCCCCATTTTGCGCGAGATGGATATAGAGAACAAGCTTTAAAAAAAAAAGATAGGTTGCCAGGCAACGAAACATACGCCCACAGCAGCTAAACGATACGGGCAGTCAACAAGTGTTGTCGCATTTTTTTACTTTTTTTGGTAATGAAACATTTATAATACACTAAAATTTGATTAAGAGTAACAACTCATGAAGTAATTATCAATCTGAAGTCAATCGGATGCTAACTTTAGCCTCTAGAATGTCACAAGTTTTTTCAAAGTGATCAAGGGCCATAAGTTTGGCAGTAATTATCGGAAATTGTTGAAAATCAATAGGATTCTTTGTCTCATGACCTCAAAATCGCTGAAAATGAATAGACGTCTTCGTCTCATAACCTTAAACACTGTGTATAAATTTAAAGTCAATCGGATATTAACTTTGACCTCTAGAGCGTCCACAAGATTTTTCAAAGTGATCAAGGGCCATAACTCTGGCAGTAATTATAGGAAATCGCTGAAAATCAATAGGCTTCTTCATCTCATGACCTTAAACTCTGTGTACAAATTGAAAGTCAATCAGATAATAACTTTAGCCTCTAGAGCGGCCACAAGATTTTTTGAAGTGATCAAGGGCCATAACTCTGGCAGTAATTATCGGAAATCGCTGAAAATCAATAAACTTCTTCGTCTCATGACCTTAAACACTGTGTATAAATTTTAGGTCAATTGGATATTAACTTTGGCCTCTAGAGCGTCCACAAGATTTTTCAAAGTGATCAAGGGCCATAACTTCGGCAATAATTATTGGAAATCGCTGAAAATCAATAGGCTTCTTCGTCTCAAGACAAATTGGCAGTCAACAGAGAGATTGTGTCGGACAATTTCTGTTATAGAGCCCTGTTTTCAGGGTTGTACATAAAGTCATGAAAATTAAATTAGGAGAAAGCCTGAAAATGTTAAAGTGCGTTTACACAATTAAACTTGTTTTCTCTTTAAAACAGACAATTAAGCCCTGCTACACATGGCTGCGATAAGCATGCGGTTCTCTGCTTGGTATCGCTCAGCGATAAATTTCAAGAAATTGACCTGTTTACATTACTCTACAATAAACGGTCTTGGAACTGTACCAGGCATGCCAAATGTGGAACTCTTCACAGAAACGTTAATTTCAGTCCCTATGCAAATACCAGGATGAAAACAATTATGGTGTTTTGATTTAGTTAGGGCAGCCATTTTAGCAGAACTGTCAAAGGTCACAGGGGAAAATGGTCATTGTTCATTTGGCACATGTGCAGTAATCCGTACTGAGAACCGTTCTCAGATCAAACAGCATTTACACTTCGAAAATATAACCATGATGTTGTGCCGTGACCCCCTCACTTCAGTGGGCCAAATTGGCACGGTACTCAATTCAGCACCGTTTATGTTTGACCCATTTCCTAAAAAATTAACCCTGCTTTAAAGTTTGTTAATGTAAACAGGGTTTTAGATCCACTAGAAGAAAGTGCAGTACTGGTGATAGTAAATCACACTGATCAGCAGTGAAAATTCGCTAGGCCGTCTCAAATTACTGATAAGAATGACATCGATGATGCGACTTAATGTGTCAAAAATATTAACCTTTTTCCTGCGCCAAATTAAATTCGAAAACATTTTTTTACGCATTAGAAAAATAAATAAAGACGTTTGAAGTATTTGTAGTTCAAAATATTTCATACTTAGTGTAAATGTGTATTAAAATGAGTAAAAGGCACCATTCAACGTCTTATGTAAACAATGCACGCATCATTGAGCCAATGATTGACGCCACGTGGTGTGACGTCACTTGTTGAAGCCAGTCATCTTTTACAGAGATATTAGCCAATGATTGACGCCACGTGATGTGACGTCACTTGTTGAAGCCAGTCATTTTTTACAGAGATATTAGGAGACTTTTGTAATCCTCTGCTAAAATAAATGACTCGATCATCATTTATCTAAATGTGAAGTTGATGACGGATCCCAAGAAATGTTGGCCCTTACTCTATGAATTGTAACAACAATGTAAGTAGGCGTTAAAACAATTGGGTTTATAGGAATTAATATCTTTTGACAGTGCCAATTCAAAAAAGAAAAACAAAAATAACCCACACATAACAGCATGATTAAAATCTATTTATGATTGATTTTTATAAACAAATAAAGGAAGATACTAGTGTAACACAGAAATTTAACAATTTACATCTAAATTCTCATCCTGGTGACAATAAAAATTATTATATTTAAGTCAGAATTAAGATTAAAAATATTTGATCATAATATTCAACAAACTACAGGGCAGTACAGCCTAGGCAAACAGTGTACTGATTTAAAAGAAAACATTACATAGATAATAAATGTTAAAATTTATTGCTTAACCTCGATCCAATTTCATAAGAACTTTACATTTTATTTAGTACATGTATATCAGAAAGACTGACTAAACAAATTTTTCCATAAATTTTGTATTCATTTTGTTGCTTTGTCATCTTATTTAACATACCTATAGATTTGTGTATGTGCAAATTATGCTTCAGTTTATATAATAGTGTGAGCTAATGTAGATCAATAACCATGAGCATTCAACTGAACTAATCCTAATAGGCTTCAAAAACTACATATATTATTTTCTAGACATTTTTTCCAGATGACATGTAAATAATAATATCTCTAGAACATTGTTTTTCTCAAAGCATTATAATAGACACATTCAAAGCATTATTATACCAATACAATTTAACATTGCAGTGATTTCGATTTTGAGAATACAACATACTTGAACATATGTATCACACAATAAAATTGTAACTATAGACAGTTATTAAATATTATACAACTCTTTAGAATTATAAGGCTGACCTTAAAAATATCTTTGTTTCGCCTAACGCGACCGACTAACTAAAACCACCCCCGACTTAAATTATTTTATTGCACTTTTCCACGATCTTTTTATTTTATTTTGTGCGTCAACCTGAAATATATCACAAGAGTTATTTCCCTTTACTATGGCTACGGTTTGATTCATTATTGAAACTGGTTGATCAAGACGATAGCGTCATAGGTGTCGCTTCTCAACAAAATGGTTGCAGACGAATACACGTCCATTCCCACGAAATGATTCTGCTTCTTTGTCTGTGGTGCGTAGTTTTAAACATAACGACGATATTATCAATATCCGTTTTCGAGAAAAATGAAGGCACAACCCGCACTATCGTTAAAAACGTGTTGAAGGAGTTTCACACTTCAAGTTCGTGGCAAATCGTGTGCGAGTCGGGCATCACGAAAAATTCCCGATGTCATTGATTTTTTTGCCAATTGAATAAAGAAGACGAATGTTTCCACCCGGAAAATTGTTAAGCTGTCAAATTAGCTCTTAAGTTTAATAAAAAGACTTTCAGTTCGTTACTTTTTACGTCAGAACCCAAATTCATTAAACAAAATTAATGAATCTGTAGTATACAGCTAATAAGTTTTCTGTTTTGATTTCTCTAACTTTAAAAAAAAAATCTGAAAAAAAAAACGACCTACCGACCCTTCTCCTCGATTGTGGGTCGGGTTTGGTGAAACAAAGATATTTTTAAGGTCAGCCTAAGAAGGAATCACACCATTCTTTTAAACACTTGTAAAAATCATTTTGTTGTTTAGGATTGGCGCCACATGTATCTTTTAACCAACACTTGAACATTTTCTCCTCCTTCTTCAGCAGTAAAAACTGCCCCAGTGAAGTGTGTGCCTAAAATAGAAAACAGTCGATTAGTATAAGACAGCCATGCAAAATGTGGAAATAAATCATCTTACACAAAAGGACATAAAGATGCCTTCACCATTTTATTGTGTTTACAAGTTTGAACAATTCTGTTAAAAACTGTTGCCCCCAACAGCAAAGTGGGGATTACCGGTACTCGCGGAGCGCTGATTATCGCCAAGGTTCGTCCCTCTTGACTGCAAATGCTTCACATCAAATTTAAACAATTCTGTTTAATAATATAGCCTCTATCACTTTCAAAAGAGGGGAGGGGGGAATAAGTCTGCAGTAAGCTGCATACTGACTGCAGGAGATTCCATTTACCATTGAAGCCCAAGTAAATTCCTTGAGTATACTCCAACTTTTCCATCCCTAGTCCCTACTGAAAGTTAAAATCTTTCAATGTTGTCACAACCGTTAGCCATTAGATCAATACATAAGTACACAAGATTAGTGCTCACTATGTCTGCTGGATCAGGGGGGTTCATAGGTAGCCGTCGCCAGACACTTAAAAGTCCACCCATCGACCATTGCTCGCCTCCGACAATGCAACCACACCACTGGAAGAGTTGCAGATCGGCCCCAACCTGGAGCGCCACCCGTAACAACCGCTGCTCAAGATCACCACATCCGACTACAGCATCTGGGCAACAGGTTCCTGCCAGCTACTGCTACTGCCAGGGAAACTGTTGGAACATGGCAATGTCAGATAAATCCCCAAACAGTCCGAAGGCGTCTGGCTGCTCTTGGTTTACGCTGCCGTCAACCTTATCAAGGTCAAATCCTTTTGCATCGTCATCGACTTGCCAGACAGCAATGGACCGCAAATCAGGGGTATCTGCACAACACACCATGGTGAAATGTCATCTTCTCAGATGAATCCTGATTCAACCTTGGTTTTCCTGATGGACGTCACTGTATCTACCAACATCGACATGAACGCTTTGCTCTAACTGCGTGCTAGAAAGGGAAGAACTTGGACGACAGGTTCTTACTCAAGCCATGTCACCACGAACTGTTGCAGAGTTGGCACAGGCACTCCAAAATCATTGGCAAACAATCCCACAGCGTGTAGTGAGACATCTGTGCCAGTCCATGCCAAGGTGACTTCAGGCAAGTGTAAGAGCTCAGGGTGGACATACCCGATACTGACTTCAGCTGACCCCTGCTTTGTTTCATAGTTCTCTGACGTTTCGGTTTTGTGCATTTGTAGTGAATTCTTTCATGAAATTATCCACAGATGCTTGTTATCTCGATTTTGTCAATTGTTATGTACATTTGTTAAAAGTTGTTCCATTAAATAAACTTTGAATCTGGCATAGCGTTTTTAATGGCTTTGAGTGTAGTTCACCACTCATCGTGATACTGCTCATCATATTCCCTGCTGTGCGACCAAACTGTGAATTGTTAACCAAGTAGCCATTTACATCCTTACTTGCAATATCTGTGACATGTGTCTTGTCCACAGTTTTGTTTGTGTGCAAAATTCGGTCCCCATGCACTTACTATTAACCTTTAATCAGACTCACCATATCAAAACCTTTATCTGCTAATTTTTATACGTCCACATTCATAATGTGAACGTATTATGCCGTCGCCCCTGTCTGTGTGTGTGTGTGTGTGTGTGTATGTATGTATGTGTGTGTGTGTGTCTGTGGTTCGCCTACAGGGCGCAATTCTTCATGGATTTTCTTCAAACTTGGTATACTTATTCCTTATACCCCAAGGAAGATCCCTATTGTTTTTGGTGCATGCCCGACCCCCCGGGGCAGAGCCACGCCCATTTCTAGTATTTGTTTGTTTGTCGTCTACAGGCCACATTTCTTAACTAATAATCTTGAAACTTTGCATACACATTCTTTGTACCCTAAGGAACATCCCTATCGTTTGGGGTGCATGCCCAACCCCCAGGGGCAGAGCCACGCCCATTTTCTTTTCGTGTGTCTTTGTGTCGCCTACAGGGCGCAATTCTTACTGGATTTTCTTCAAACTTGGTATACTTATTCCTTATACCCCAAGGAAGATCCCTATTGTTTTTGGTGCATGCCCGACCCCCAGGGGCAGAGCCACGCCCATTTCTAGTATTTGTTTGTTTGTCGTCTACAGGCCACATTTCTTAACTTATAATCTTGCATACACATTCTTTGTACCCTAAGGAACATCCCTATCGTTTGGGGTACATGCCCAACCCCCAGGGGCAGAGCCACGCCCATTTCCCATTTTCTTTTCGTGTGTCTTTGTGTCGCCTACAGGGCGCAATTCTTACTGGATTTTCTTCAAACTTGGTATACTTATTCCTTATACCCTAAGTATGACCCCTATTGTTTTTGGTGCATGCCCGACCCCCAGGGGCAGAGCCACGCCCATTCCTTATATTTATTTATTTGTTAGTCATCTACAGACCGCATTTCTTAACGTATCATCTTGAAACTATGCATACTTATTCTTTGTACCCCAAGGAACATCCCTATCGTTTGGGGTGCATGCCCGACCCCAGGGGCAGAGCCACGAACTTTTTCTTTTCTTTTTATGTCTGTGTGTCGCCTATAGGCCACAATTCTTATTCAATCGTCTTGAAAAATTTTCATATGAATTGCTTATACCCTAAGTATGATCCCTATTGTTTTTGGTGCATGCCCGACCCCCAGGGGCAGAACCACGCCCATTCCTTATATTTATTTATTTGTTTGTCATCTACAGACCGCATTTCTTAACGTATCAACTTTACATACTTATTCCTTATACCCTAAGGATGATCCCTATTGTTTTTAGTGCATGCTCGCCTCCCCGGGGCAGAGCCACCCCCATTTTTTGTATTTGTTTGTTTGTCGTCTACAGGCCACATTTCTTAACGTATCATCTTGAAACTTTGCATACTTATTCTTTGTACCCTAAGGAACATCCCTATCGTTTTGGGTGCATGCCCAACCCCCAGGGGCAAAGCCACGCCCATTTTCTTTTTTATGTCTGTGTGTCGCCTACAGGCCACAATTCTTAATCAATCGTCTTTAAATTTTTTCATATGAATTGCTTATACCCTAACGATGATCCCTATTGTTTTTTTACCTCCAGGGGCAGAGCCACGCCCATTTCCTTTTCTTTTTATGTCTGTGTGTCACCTACAGGCCACAATTCTTAATCAATCGTCTTGAAAAAATTTCATATGAATTGCTTATACCCTAACGATGATCCCTATTGTTTTTGGTGCATGCCCGACCGCCAGGGGCAGAGCCACGCCCATCCCTTATATTTACAGATCGCATTTCTTATCGTATCACCTTGAAACCTAGCATACATATTCCTTCTATCCTAAGGAACATCCCTATTATTTGTGGTGAATACCCAACCCCCAGGGGCAGAGCTACGCCCATTTTCTTTTTTTATGTCTGTGTGTCACTTGCAGACCGCATTTCTTAATCGATCATCTTGAAAACTTTTTTATACTTATTCCTTATAGCCTAAGGCTACTTTTTATACTTATTCCTTAATCCTAAGGCCGACCTCTATTATTATTTTTGGTGCATGCTCGACCCCTTGGGACAGAGCCACACCTAATGTTTGTGTGTCTTGTGTTTTGCCTACAGACCGCAATTCTTAACAGATTCTTTTGAAACTTTGCATACCTATTCGAAACGTCATTTTTTTGGAATAAAGACATCGATTGTTTTAAAATAAAAATTGTGTTCTGTTAATGTGAACGAAGTGTTAAACTGATAGCAGTCCTACAACCCAGTTTTATTTCACAGACCCTCAATGCAAACTGGACCATATCAAACAAAACAGGAATGTGGACGTATATTGCTGCGTTAGCGATGCTCTTGTTTACTATAGGCTTCACCAATACCTGATATTTCAGTTACAGCCTTTTCAACCATAGGTTCAGAAACAAAATTCTTGTGTTTTTGGGATGTAGAAGACATTGTTATTTATCTGAAAAATTATTTTATTTCATTAAATTTCAATGAACGGAAAAAGTTAATCAGAAATACAATATCGACTGTAATCTGATGTTCAGACTCACCCAGAAATCTTGAAACTATAGAATCAAAAAAATTATTACCATTATCAACCAGCGGTTGCCAGGCAAGATACACCCACATTTTGCAAGAGAGACAGAGAAGAATTGTTCAACAATATAAAAATATAAAAAATCGGCATGTACTTGTAGCCCTATTGAAAGTATTATAATATCATCGGTCGAGCTGGGTAAAATATTGATATAAATCGATTAGACATGCAAAAAAAGCACTATCAATAGAGGTATGTTGCTATCGATTATCGTTCTCTTCGTCTATTTTTTTGCGTAGGAGTCGACTTGATGTTTTCTGCGAGTTAATCCTTCATATCGGTCACATTAATTACTTCAAAGTCTCAATGTAGCATTTGAACAATACTTTAAATTGGGTTTGAAACAATTTTTGTTGAAACGCCATGTCGTGGAATTTGACAAATCGGAAATCTACCCGTATGTGTAAATAATTCAGAGTTTTTCCCTTTTCAGAATTTGTCTGCTCATTATTATAATAAAATACATCATAGCACTCATGGATGACAAAACATTTGTAATATTTGTTCATTTGGAATCAAGGCTACATGTACATTATATTAATAATAATAAACAATTTAAGAATTCATGATAACAAGCTCTTTATTAATTTTTCTACGCTTGTGGGATGCGAATCGACAACGAATTGTCCGCCACATTGACATTTGTCGCCTCACGTTTGCAATGTTTTGAATCGACTCATGTTCATTTTATTTTGGTTCCTCCACATAGGCCTATCAACAGTATTTCTTCATTCAGAACCAAGGCTATATTATTTTAAAAATAAACAACAATTTACATACGTATTATGCGACAGTTTATTACTAATTAGACGAACAAAAAATATCTATCGCAACATCATATGGTTTTGACTTTTAAACACGTACTCTAGTCTTGATTTTGATTGTGAAAATAAGTTTCTTTCGATACTATCGATCGACATTTTAATGCCAATTATCTTTATTTTAGTTTTAGAATAGTAATTAGTTGTCTATATCAGTATCTGAGTATCAAAAAACTGGGGAAAAGTACAGACAATTCAGTTAAGACAACATGTTGTTATATGAATGAAGCCGTAGGCGATTAAAAATGAAACTGAAAGAAGGGATGACTAAATCCGATGTCGAACATTCAACATAACTCATCATATCATGACATAACAAAATAAATAATAACATCCATGACCATAGTTTCCATGATTATTGATTATATATTCATTCAACTTACAGTGAGTAATTACACCCATTACCGCTTAACTTAATGGGTAAAATTAAAATACTCGTAGTATCATACTTACCTTTTTCGGAGAAAATGTTGTGAAAACGTGTCTCAGATGACAGATGTGTTTGTGTTTGTATTTATAGCCAAAATTGGAGAACTGTAGTTTCACTATGCAAACTGATTTTGTTTATATATGCCGGTAGCCTGTGTAAGGTCTCTAAAAATAAAATAATTATGACAAATTAAATACCGGTGGCTGTAGCAATCTATTGTATAGTCACAAATCTCTCAATACAGCAAATGATATAATTATTGGTTGAATTAGTTAAGCGGTCTTTTCTCTAACTGTTAACGGTCCATTCTTATCGTTACATGGCTTTTAGTGCTCCAACCGTTTTGGACTCGAAATTTAAAATGTCTTTACCTTGCAAAGAATTAATTAAGACTGCCTCTATTTAAAAGTGAGATTATGCACAGTTATAGTACAATCTGTATGAATTTTATAGGCGTCATTAAGATTAGTGAAATGAAGACGCCTACTGAACTTCAGCAAATGTCGTTAACAATGTCTAGAGTTATGGCCCTAATTGTTTCACTTTGTTGAACCTTGTGAACGGTTTAGCGACAAAAGTTATAATCCGATCTGTATGAAATTTATATACTTCATTTAAATTAGTGAAACTTTGTTGGACTTTGTGAATGCTCAAATGACAAAAGTTGTCATCCGATCCTATGTGAAATTTACATGCATCATTTAAATTAGTGAAATACTTAATTACTTCTAGAGTTATAGCCCTTGTTTCGTTTTGTGAATGCTCAAACGATGAAAATTATAATCTGATCTGTATGAAATTGTCTTGTAAAAGACATTATTACCTACAAAAGAAAAGATATGTGACAACACTTGTCGACCGCTCGGACGATTTAGCTGCTGTGGGCGTATGTTTCATTGCCTGGCAACCTATCTTTTTTTAATTGGGGTCACTATAACCCAGTAAGGAAATTGCAATTACTGTTCAGGTCAAAATAAGGAACAAAACAATTTAACTAATGGCTGGTTTTCATTTTGTAGAGAAGTCATACCTCACACAATTAAATTGAATGAGTATGGGTTGACGCATAAAAAGATTTATAAAACTAAGACATAGACAGACAGCCACTAGATTCTTGTTGGTTTTCATTTTGTAGAGAATTCATATCTCACGCACTTAAATTGAATGAGTCATGGGTTGATACATAAAAAGATTTATAAAACCAAGACAGCTAGCTGGTTCTGTGTGAAAACAAAATATCACCAGATCACTTGTGATAGGAAAGTTACTATTGCATCATTTGGCTAAGTAACTAATCATTATAATTAATTACGTCATATTTGACCAATTAGATAATTGAAAACTGAAACCCAAGGGTAGAAAACCATCAGAGCTCTGGGCAATAGACAGACAGCCGCTAGATTCTTAGAGAGAGATATTATGTTAAGAGATACAGTTGAGGTTGAAGAGACACCATCTGGATTCAGAATGCTCTGTTAGGTCGTAGGAGAGCCATATGATATAGTGTGTTCCGTTAGTAAACTCGATCTGCGAATTAAAGAGGTGCAGAGAAAGACATGTTAATTTTAAGCATTGTAATGTAACCTATGCTTGCAACCTATGTATCCAGTGCTTGATATAAAATGTTAAAATGAACTGCTGCATTGATGTACCTAGTAGACAAACTTCTTAACTACTGAGATAGTAAGAAGAAAATACAAAATGTAAAAAAGGGTCCCAGCCATAAGAAGAGAATGAAAAATAAAACCAAAGACAATACTAGACGATCACATGGGTATTAAAATATGTAGCAGAAGAGAGTATGCGCCACCCGTCGGCTGTAGGGAGATTTCCTGTGTACTTTCTATATCTAACCAGCGACCTTTCTACATCTAACCAGTGACGTATAGCAATGCTTAGTATTTCAGAGGGCCGTCAAGTGTCAAGAACAACATGTATAGTCATTCAGATAGGTTCCGTGTGCACATTGCCATGCAGATGAAAGATCCCTTGGTCAAAATTTCCCCATAGCATACTGTATGGCATATGCCCGTCTTCATTAGCCCAGTCGGAGCAGAACAGTAGGACGTTTAAAACTCCATTTCATTTCCTACTATTACTGATACCTGCTTGTGTGCCATCCTGAGTGTGTGCCATAGGCCTATTCATATGTTACTTGGTAAAATTGGCATTTATCATTGGGTTGTCTTGCATGTGTGCTAGCATGTATACATAACAGAATATCCTTAAAAAAATTGTAGATTCATTTGTATATTTTATTGGGCAACAGTTGTATTTTCGTCAGGAACTTTGAATATATTTTCCAATCAATGGTTATTTTTAAATTTTGTTGATTATCGAAATCCTAATAATCATCAAATTATATATTTTTAAATATATAATTTGATGATTATTTTATTAAAATTTAGTTTCAAAGTGTTCAGTTTGGTGACTGAGTGCTTTCTAATACCATCTAAAAAGGATGTAGTTTTTGTTCACCAAACGTGCTCATTAACCATAAACAAGTCCAGTAACTTACATGAATGAATAAATGAATGAATGAAATGGGGTTTAACATAGGAACTTTGAATATATTTTCCAGTCAATGGTTATTTTTAAATTTTGTTGATATTCGAAATCCTAATTATCATCAAATTATATATTTAACACTATTTTAATAAATTTAGTTCAAAAGTGTTCAGTTTGGTGACTGAGTGCTTTCTAATACCATCTAAAAAGGATGTAGTTTTTGTTCACCAAACATGCTCATTAACCATAAACAAGTCCAGTAACTTACATGAATGAATGAATGAATGAATGAATGAATGAAATTGGGTTTAACATCCTATTATTCTGCTCTAATCGGGCTAATGAAAAGGGGCGTATGCCATGCAGTGTATTTTTAATTCAATCTGAAGGACTAGGCACTGTTCCTTGTCAGACCTCCTGCTCTGCACCGCAGACAAGGGGAAACCAGGCTGGAAAATCATGAGGAACTTTCTCGGATAACACAAGGATCGAACTAGGGACCTCGAGGCTAGCAGGCTACTGCCTACGCACTGAGCCACCGCATCTTCCCAATAACTTACAAATGAAATTGAATTGAGTTTAACGTACTAACTTCTGCTCCAACTGAGCTAATGAAGAGGGGGTCAGTAGTTAGGTCGCTGTTATAGATATTTTGCACTTGATGACCCCTGTGACCGAGTTCTTGATGACCCCTGTGACCTAGTTCAAGGTGACCTGATGACCCAGTTCGCGGTGACCCAGACGACTTGACCTAGTTCATCGTAACCTTGCACTGAATGACTTTGTTGAGGCCATTGCACTATGACGTTGTGACCCCTGGGGAAAGAGAGGGCGTGCGCGCGCGGGGAAAAGGAGAGAGAGAGAGAGAGAGAGAGAGAAATGGGGTTTAACGTCCACTCGACACAAACTAGGTCATATCAGGACTAACACATGGTTGAACTTTATTTCAATAATTCGCTTGTGCATAGGGGTCTTTAGCAGTGGGAGGAAACCGGAGAAAACCCATGAGGTTGGACAGACGACCCTACTCCTTGTCACGTTCAACCGGGGATTCGAAAAAACCACGCCAGTTGACTCAATGACAGGCTTTATGATACAGCGCGCACGTGCTAACCATTCGGCCATTCAACCCCCTTTTAAATCTTTCGAAAATTGAACTCTATGGAGTGAGTGTGCGTAAGGTAATCTACATTTATGGATGAAAATCAGCCAAGAATTGAATTATGTAAAAAAAAAAGTAGGATTGCATGTTTGTTTATCAATAATTGTATTATCATTTAGGAACAACTTTTGCAAAAACAATCAAAAACAATTTACCCCAATATTAATTAAGCCTGAAAAATTGCTTAAGAAAGTAACTCTGGCTTTGGACAAATGGACAGGGGTGACAACAATATAAACCACATTAAACATATGGACCTACATGTATAAAAATGTTTAATGTTTTAATAGGTGTGCATATTTGTACCTTTGATTCTGATTAAAAACAATTCATCAAATACTCTGGGGGCTAAATTCATAGACACTTTGCCAATCATTGCAAAGGAGGACAAAATAGCACATATTCGTTCAACTCCAAGATCCTCGAAAGCTTCATCTAACACTGATTCTACTTTGAAAAGAAACTCTGTTGGTTCATTTGGCAAATAATTTAAATGTCCAAAGCATCTGAGAATAGTCAACAACTGTAATGGTGTATATTCCTGTCCATGCTGTTTAAAATGTGATGCAGCCGCGTCTAAAATAACAGGTGATAAATACTTTTTTGTACGACACAACTGCACAATTAGTGCCAATAGGTTGACATCAATTTTGTCTATTTTTGCAGCAACGTACTTCTCTAGTGTATCAAAGAAATGTAAAACAGGATGCTTTAAACGATTGTATGCTGTCAACATAACCATTAAATCAATTTCTCTTACAGCATGAACATTTACAGAAAACCAACGAGCAAGCCTTGAGAAGAGTCTATTGTCATGATAATTGAGCTGGATTAAAGATGTTACAACGGAAGCAAAATCTTCCCCTTTCAGTTTCCACCAAAATACAGCAATCTGATTTCCAATCAATTTTATGTAGTGTTCATGTTTTATAGATCTGGGATATAATCGTAAGACTTTTGCAACATTTGTCTCAGAAATGTCCTTATACCGATTACCAATGTGAATCCACAAATATTTGTGTAATTGTCGTTGTCTTTTGTCTTTATGTGGAGTATGTAAAATTTCAGCGAGGAGACATAGTTCATCAATGGAAAATCTACCGTCACCTATCCTCTGTTCAATTTCTTGCACAACAGAAGAAAAACATCTGTCTAATATGCCTTCTGATCGTTTCGAACACTGAAATACTGCTATTAACGTGTCTTTTGTTAATGTACAAATCTCATTACTTACAGTGTCACACAATTCATTCATTATAGCTTTGTGAATAAATGAATGTAAGTCATCTAAACCTTTATTGTCATTTTGTAACTGACAAATTTTAAAAAGTGCATTAGTTGCAGAAAGCACATTCACAAAATCGGATGGAATCTCAAGAAGCTGAAAGATCTGTTTTACTGAGGCACACTCTTGAATATGTGACTTGAACTGTTTGTCTTCTTGAGATTCATGCTTCATAGTCTTTTCTGACTGGGTATTACCCGTATCAGTAAAAGGAAATGTTGATCTGTCTGAATGTCGTATAATAATAGGTAACTCATCAATATCCAGACCATCTTGTAATAATAAGGTAGAAACACTTAAAATCTTCTTGTCACTGGATGATGCCGTGGAGAAATGTCTTTGATCTTTGATTATATCCCATTGACCAGTGGATGTGACATTACAACAAGAATGCTTGAGCTGTCGGACAAACTTCAGTTTCTTGAACAAATGATGTGACAATACTCTTCTAGTAATCTGATTCATTTTCTTACTTATTTTTATCAGTTCTAAAAACAAGATAAATATGTTAAGATACATACATATAACTAAACAATTTCTATATAACCTAATATAATATTTCCTGGATGAAAAGCAGGAAAAATCAATGGGCTCATCCTCAAACTGGGGGATCACGGTGGCTAAGTGTGTAAGGCGCTGGCTCGCTAGCCTGGAGGTCGGGTGTTCGATCCCTCCATTGGCCGAGAAAGTTCATCCAGATTTTCCGGCGTGGTTTCCCCTTGTCAGTGATGCAGGACGGAGGGCCTGACAAGGACAGCTGTCTAGTCATTCGGATGAGACGAAAAACCGAGGTCCCGTGTACACATTGGCGTTCACGTAAAAGATCCCTTGACAGTTGGAATTCGATATAAGAGTAGGCCGTAGTGCCGCTGTCCGGGCAAAATTTCCCTCATAGCACACTGTATGGCGTATGCCTGTCTTCATTAGCCCAGTTCGGAGCAAAACAGTAGGACGTTAAACCCCATTTCATTTCATTTCATCCTCTAACTGCTAAATGGAAGGTCACAGATTGATAAATATGGATAAGGTTCATCCTCTCATGACCCCAATGAGACTCCATACCAGTTGTGACAATGAAGAGAAAAGAGAGAGAGAGAGGGGTTTAACCTCCATGCGATATAAACTACTAGGTCATTTTGGACCTAACACATGGTTCAATTTTTTTTCAATAATTCGCTTGCGTGTAGGGGTCTTTAGCAGTTGGAGGACCCGGAGAAAACCCACAAGGTTGGACAGGCAGCCCTACTCCTTGTCAAGAACAACCGGGGAATCAAAACCATGCCAGTTGACTCAATGACGGACCTTATTAGCATGTGCTAACCGGTCATCCAATCCCTCCACAATGAATAGTAATTGATATCGCCATTTGTACTCCAATACTAAAGTAATCAAAAAATAATAATGTACTAGGCTCAGGCTATTGCTATGCCAAAGTTTCATTAGAAGATTCTCATTACTCAACCTATCCGATTGGTTTTGTCAATGATGTGATCCCAAGGCTGTTTCGATTCAGATTGACAAGGTTTTAGAAGTGTTTTTTTTAATAAATCGAAACCTCTAAGGTAGTAAAAGTACATGTACTAAAAAAAAATAAGATAGTAATATACATGTACTAATTAAGATACAATGTAGATGGCTCAGACAGTAATTAAACATACCACAGCACACATGCTGCTTTAAAGGGACAATAACACTCTTGCTGGCTCGACAGCTCCAGAAAATAAAAAAATAGCCTTATTCTAAGTACTAGATGTGTTAGTGTCTTACCTGTTGTGTAAATTATCCATTAAATCCTATTTTACTTGTCCAGAGGGTTCAAAAATATTTTTAAATCCAAGTCACATTTGAAAAGCTTTACGTCAGGCTTTTCAAATCATTTAGTTGAATTTTTCCAATTTTTTAAATTTGGTGTGTTAAGATGAAATTTATATCACCAATTAATTGGAATATTGTAAAATAGTACAATTTGTTGACCAGAATTGGCAGAATAAAGATTGGGACATATTATAAATTCAGTTACAACAAGATCGAGTGGTATTGAGCCTTTAAAGTACATGTACAATGAGCCATGACAACATGTATGTCGAGTTTGTTGTACACACTGTAACAAAAATAAGACTATTTACTTATTTAGATTTACTAAACTTTGTCTCGTTTGATTTTGGGTGATGTACATGTCATGAGGTACGTAATAAAAGTTGGCATTTTCTTGGATAAACTATAACTCATTAACTGCGACTGCGTAAATGTACTGGCATGATTTACAGTTGAATAAAGTGAAATTCGCAAGAACATAATATACATTTTTATACACAAATGCTACAATGATATATTCGTATACATTACATAATTGTAGAAGAGAGAGAGAGAAATGGGGTTTAACGTCCACTCGACACAAACTAGGTCATTTCGGGACTAACATATGGTTTAATTTTATTTCCATAATTCGCTTGCGCGTAGGGGTCTTTAGCAGTGGGAGGAAACCGGAGGACCCGGAGAAAACCCACGAGGTTGGACAGGCGACCCTACTCCTTGCCACGTACAACCGGGGATTCGAAACCACGCCAGTCGACTCAATGACAGACTTTGTGATACAGCGCGCGCACGCTAACCATTCAGCCATCCAACCCCCCAATTGTAGAAGAAATAACACAACTACCTACCTTCTTTTCCACATGTAATTGTTTACGTGATGACAGCGCACCCTACTATTATATAAAGGTGAAGGTTAAAATACAATCTCCGTGCAGTATAACACGTCTGGAGGCTCCGACTTTTGCTGGTCTCCCTCGTTAGATCGAGGGCCTAATTATGTCATAAAGTTCATGGTGGGTCACTGAACAAAAATAGCAGTAAACAAATGCAGCAACAGTTGGTGCTAGAATACACGATGAGTAACATCCAACAACATTTTTTATTCCATGATAATACAAAATATATTATTCTTATCCAACTGGACAAAGTCTTATGATCTGCGACATCATTGGAGAATGCTATAATAATCAGAGATTGCAGAACGAACAAGGACTAGAAACCGGAGGATGCCACTTCGGGCATTGTTAAGGTGAGAGCATTCAAACGGAATCCCGGACATATGTACGCCGTATACCGTTACTTAGGTAGCTAGATAGTGTGGTTATGTTATTTTAGAGATCGATAAATTATCAAAGACCCCAGTGTTTAAAAACCTAATGGCTTACAGTATAGTACTGGTGAGCCGTGGGTCGTGTTAAGGGCGTAGTTTTGCTGTATCACTGGTGATTCGACATCAACAATAACAAACCAATATTATTTCCAACTATAGTATATTATAAACTAAATAAATGTCATACAAAACAGGAAAATGTTCAGAGAAAAGTACAGTTCACGGTTTGATCACATCACACAAATGACCAAGTAAAAGGTCTAAATTCACCTTATAAAAGATTCACCATACATATTCATTCACACAGAATATATATTGAGTTCACAATTCACCGTTATAATAAAGGAAAGTTGAGTGTCAACATCAAATTCATCGTGAAAAACGATATCAAAACCCCCATTACACACACACACACACGAGGGCTTGGCTCACCGGTCACCATGCGTCTGCTTTCACATCCTATAATAGTCAATCACCTAGCAATACGCGCTTCCACTCAGACACACTCGAACATCAAGACTCTCATTTACCGATTTTGAACATAACATAACCGGCCCCTATCGAATTATACATAATGAGATACAAATACTTATATGTTCAAATATAAACAAATAATGAATCATCATTATTAACTTAAAACTAAATTCAAATATTAATACCTTTAACACAAAATGTTACACTAAATATGAATACTGTAGTTAATAATAATAATAACTAGATATTATTTTACACTTAAGAACATGTATAACATCTTATCACCATCACACAAATACTGAGTTATTTTAATATATCATATTAAAGTCTGTCACACTTGACCTTTAAATAAACTACAAAATACTAATAGCATAATTCAAATTCTGATTCTAATTACATGTAAGTTATAGTCACCAAATCCACATTACACCTTTCACCAAAGACATTTACTTGTATGTATATGTATAAATATAACTAATACTAGTAATGATTACAATTACACCACTAATTTTCTTGTTCTAACAAGAGACACAACTTATCAATTGGTCTTACTAAAAAACCAGTCTGTGTTTTCAATTTGACACTTCTTACCAATCCAAGCTTATTTGGATAAGTTTCAACTACTTTACCCATAGTCCAAGAAGCTCTTGGCGACATACTATCGACAACTAAGACAATATCACCTATTGCAATATTCTTAAGGGGTTTTAACCATTTTTGGCGTTTCTGAAGGGAGGGTAAATATTCTTTAGTCCAACGTTTCCAGAACAAGTCTGACAGGTATTGTACCTGTCGCCACCGTCTTTTAGCATAAAGATCTCTGTCACTAAAAGTACCTATGGGAAATAATACATTATTATCATACAATAATATGGAATTTGGGGTAATTACATCTAAATCATTAGGATTGTCTGAAGTTTTGGTAAGTGGACGACTGTTAATTATAGCCTCTACTTCACACATGAAAGTTCGCAATTGTTCTTCACTTTGACACGTTTTTAAATACTGATCACATAAAATAGCTTGTAAAATCTTTCTTATGGTACGAATTTGTCTTTCCCATATGCCACCAAAATGGGATGCGGCAGGAGGGTTAAAGTTCCATTTGAAACTATATCTAGCAGAGAAATGATTTAACACATTTTGATCTAACTGTTGTAATGAAGATTTCAATTCTTTGTTTGCAGCGATAAGATTGGTCCCATTATCAGAAAATATTTCAACTGGATAACCTCGTCGAGCAATAAATCAGCGAATTGCACTTACACACGAATCAGTGTCCAACGTGTCTGCCACCTCTATATGTATTGCACGAGAAGCGAGACAGGTGAATATTACACCATATTTCTTCCTCACCGAACGACCTACTTTTACACAAAACGGGCCAAAATAATCTATGCCCACTCTACTAAATGGTTTCTCATCCGGAATAAGTCTTGACACTGGAATGTCTGCCATTTTCTGTTCACATACACGGGAATTAGATTTTCGACATGTCACACAATTTCTAATGAAGTTTTTCACTAGAAGTCCAGCTTTTATTATCCAAAATTTTTGTCTAAGTTCTGATACAGTATGATTCATACCTTGATGTCCTACAACTTTGTGAATATGTTTCACAATTAACCACGAAATATGACAATTTTTGGGTAATATTATTTGGTGCTTAGCATTATAAGGAATATTACTATTTCGTAATCGACCACCGACGCGTAAAAGATTGTCCTTTAATATGGGATCTAAACTGGAAATATCACTATTCGATGTCACACACTTCTCACTGCTGTCGTTCTTAAGGACATCTATTTCCTTTGAATTACATGAGTTTTGAACATATCTTAAAATTACACTTTCTGAATTGACAATTTCTTCATGAGATAAGGAATGTTTACACAAATCATCGGGTATTGACTGTTTCTTTGCTTTAAGTTTAAGAATCGCCTTTAAGCGCATCCACCACGACACGCAACGTTTTAGTTTAACCCAATCAGAGTACTTCTGAAATAACTGAGTCACACAGTCATTTTCACATTTCACACTGTTCACCTTGATTTCATTGTCACAAGTCTCATTATTTACATTGTAATTTTCAGGCCACTCTGTTTCAGGATTATGTAGAAACTCTGGTGCTTCAAGCCACCTTTTACTTGAGAGTTCAGTTGCACCAAGTCCTCTTGAACAATAATCTGCAGGGTTCATTTTAGACGGAACGTATCTCCAATCACTAACATTGGATCCATCACGTATAACAGCGATTCTGTTACTCACAAATACTGGATATCGCGACGTATTATTGTTTACATATTTCAGCACTGTTTGACTGTCAGTCCAAAATATTTCACGGTCTATTGGAATTGAGAATTCACGATTCAACATAGTATTTATTCTTACAAGAGAAGTTGCTGCAGAAAGCTCTAACTTCACAATAGTGTGGGGCTTTAAGGGTGCCACACGCGATCTAGCTAACACAAAAGCGGTATGCACACTACCACTGTCATTTAAGAATCGTATATATGTCACTGTACCATAACCGTCCTGACTTGCATCAGCAAAATGGTGTAATTGAGTATTTACAATGTTGCCAAAATTATAAGGCTTAAGACACCTTTGTATTCTTAATTGTTCTAAATTACTTAATTGACTAAGCCATTCACACCACTTAATATTCCATTCAGAAGGAATGGGTTCATCCCATGTTAATTTTGCACGACATAAGTTTTGCAATATAATTTTAGCCTTTAAAATAAATGGGGAGGCAATACCAAAAGGATCGAAAATAGAACTCATTACAGACAAAATATTACGTCTAGTTGCTAATGAACTTAAAATTTCAACCTTAAATTCAATTATATCACTTTCCACACACCACTGCACACCTAATGCTCTTTTAACAGGTAAATCATTACATAAATCTAAATCTCTCACTTCTTCAATACGATCTTGCTCAGGAATACAATTTAACAATTTACGACTATTACTTATCCATTTAGTTAATCTAAAACCACCTTTAGATAAGAGTTCACAAACATCACGAATAAGTGAAATACCTATAATTTCATCACTAACTGACTTTAGAAAATCATCTACATAAAAATCATTAAGTATATTATCAATGACAAACGGATTATAATCATTTTGATTATCTAATGCTACTTTCTTTAAAGCATAATTTGCACATGCAGGGGAACTGGTCGCACCAAAAACGTGTACAAGCATCCTATATTCACATAAGGGTTTTGTCAAATCTCCCTTTGGCCACCATAAATAACGTAACATGTCACAATCAGATTTAGCTACCCTAACTTGGTAGAACATGGATTCTATGTCGGCCATGACTGCAAATAATTCTTGTCGCCAACGTATCAATACACTTAAAAGTCTATTAGTTAGGTCTGGACCTTGTAACAAGTGGTTGTTTAAAGAGAAATTATCATATACAATTGGACAATTAAAGACTATTCTTACTTTATCATGTTTTTTAGGGTGTTTGACAGAGTGATGGGGAATATACCATAATCGTTTATCTAAACCATTAATATCATAAATAGGAACATGTTCACAATAATTTTTGGATTCTAAATCATTCATAAACTTAGTATATTCACAATGAAGCTTATCATTTACTAACAATTTTTTCTTAAGTTTTTCAGCATACATTTCAGCTTGTAATTTGTTATTAGGTACATTTACATTTTTATTTCTTAATGGTAATTCTAATTCATAATGTCCATCTACAAGTTTTGCAGATTTATCCATAATATCTATAAATTGTTTATCTTCAATGGAATAATTCACTTGATCATCATTAAGGCGCTCAGCAAATTCTAAATCAAAATAAGACTTGACTTGTTTTTCTAATCGCGAGTCAAGTTGACAAAAGTTAACACTGAAACTGTTTACATTACTTAATTTTCCTGGGAGTCCATATAATAACCAACCGAGAGGAGATTTAATTGCATACGGTTCTCCGATATCACCAATCGCAACTTCAAGAGGCATTGTAGCTGCGGGCATATTACTACCAATCATTAATGTTACTTCTGGAATGCAAAATTCTCCACTCAATTCAGACACCTGTACATGACGCAAATGTTTATACTTGTTTATGTCTTGCT